GGGAGAGAGATTGACATCCATCACACACACAATCACACAATCATGCAAACCTTACACACACAGAAACACACAATGCATTCTTTACATACACTAAATGCACCCCGTACACACACTCAATGCACCCCTTACAGACGCACACACTGCATACCGTACATACACAGAAACACACCTTGCAGCCCTTACACATACAAACACAGATTCACACAATGCATTCCTTACACACATATCAGGACATCCCCTACACACTCCACCCCCTGTGAACAAACTCATTGGTGGAACATGAAGGTGGACCCTGGGACCCAGACCTTGAGCTGTGTAAAGGGCCCCAAAAAATGGAGCTGCTTCCCGTTCTCCCAGAACATTGATTTTTGTGACCACAGTTACAAACAGCCTCCAGAGAGCCTGTTCTACACCAGACCAGTGGAGCCAGACCGCAGCTAGAGCCCATCATCATCCTCATCTCGTTGTAAGTAGGCAATCTAGTATATTATTTGTGGCACTAATCTCTAATTTACCTCACATTAAAGAAACATTATAGTCCCCAGAACCACTGCAGCTTAATGTAGTGGTTCTGGTGTCTATAGCCTGTCCCTGCAGGCCTTTTAATGTAAACACGGCGGCACTCCAGCACTGGCGTTAGTTAACATGGCAGATCATATGGGTGGGGCGGCAAACTTTACTTTGCCTAGGTCGGCAAAAATCCTTGCACCGGCCCTGTCCGAGTGTCACATGACTACCCGGCGCTCAGTCTGACACTGCGCTTGCCAGACGTCCAGAGGTCCCCCTGCTATGTCAGGTAAAAGGGGGGACAAAGGTAGAAAAATAATTGGAAGGGTTTAGGGGGGCTACTAATATGGATGGGGGGAGGGGTAGGTAGAAAAATAATTGGAAAGTGTTAGGGGGGCTACTAATAAGGATAAGGGGGAGAGGGGTAGGTAGAAAAATATTTGGAAGGGTTTAAGGGGGCTACTAATATGAATGGGAGTAGGGGGGAGGTAGAAAAATTATTGGAAGGGGTTAGGGGAGTACTAATATGAATGGAAGGGGTAGGGTGGGTTCTAATATGCATGGAAGGGTTTAGGGGGTACTAATATGCATGGAAGGAGTAGGGGGGGGTTAATATGCGTGGAAGGGGTAGGTGGGGTTCTTTTGTGCATGGAAGGGGTAGCGGTGGTTCTAATATTCATGGGAGGGGTAGAGGTGGTTCTAATATTCATGGAAGGGGTAGGTGGGGTTCTAATATAAATGGAAGGGGTAGAGACGGGTAGTAAAATGTATGGAATGCATTTCTGACAGTGTCACTGAATGGCAGTTAGGAAATGTGGTCACCCTAAGTCAGGGGCAGTATTACACAATCTGTATATGTATAAAAAAATATAAAAAGTAATCTGCAAAGTACAAAATGTTTGTGTCATATGTCGTGCTAAAAATTAAGCTAGGAATGTGCATATTTTTTTTTAAAATAATTTTTAGAATAATGATACAGACATTTTATTTCTTACATTTGTGATGATTCTTTTTTCCTCTCTATATTCAAGGGACACTATAGTCACCAGAACCACAACATCTAAACATAGTAGTTCTGGTGTCTATAGCATGTCTTTGCAGGCTTTTTAATGTAAGCACAGCCATTTCGTAAAAAGGCAGTATTTACATTACTGATGAGGAATGCCTCTAGTGGACACTCAGATGGCCACTAGAGGTGCTTCCTTGTCGAGACATGAATGCCGCCCTATGAAGTATCTGCGCATGCGCACCAGAGAGCAATGACGCTTCTGAATAGAAGCGTTTTATTGCTCCCTGCTCGCACCCTCCTATTTCGTCATTTTGACAAAATAGGGGGCGCAGAATCAGGAGGATCCCGGCGCTGTATCCAGGTAAGTAAAATCCATTCCCTGTAGTGACCCTTTAAAGTTATTATTTAATCATTTATATAGCGACTGCAAATTCCGTACTGCTGTATAATGGGATAAACAACTCCTAGTTTACGGAATAAGAATATACCCGGCGAGTAAAAATGCTACCCCCCCAGATTTTTTTGGGTTCCTACGCCCATGATTTAGATGTGTTCCTTATGTGTTTAGATTGAGGGCACCCCTTTGTTTACAAATTTAGTTTAAAAAAACAAAACAATTAATTTACCTGTAATCTAACTCCAGAATAGTCTACATTCTGCAGTTGATTCACCTTCTGTGAGATCATCAGTCATTATTATTATTGGCATTTATATAGTTCCAACTTATTTAAGCAGCGCTTTACAATATTATTAAGTGGGAAAATAAAGAACAAACTATTACATATTTGGACAAGAAAAATAAATGGTTACTTGATGATCTCTCTATCAAATTCCATGCTTCACAAAGAGAAGACTTTGGGACATAGAGTGCATGCATGGCAATTGCTGGGCTCCAGAAATTGAATGCTTCTCATATTGGGAAGTATTAGGACCGTTACGTCTCAACATGCTGTGCGTCATTACACTGAACATGAAAACCTTCAAAAATCAAGGAACCCCTGTAAAAATATAGGGAGGCTTGGGAATAGGATGATGTCAGGATTACTATTTGATCCAGCACATAGAATTAAATCACAGCAAGGACTAATAGGTAACATCTTACTAGGCCTTAGAATGGCCTGACTAAACGTACCAGAGAATAGTCAGAATACTAGCCGAGGTCGGCAGTACAGAAAGAGACACTAGAATTAGGGAAAGCCAGAAGTCAGGGCTACCAGAATACAGGGAAGTCAATACGAAGCCAAAGTCAATAACCAGAAGAAAACGCTCAGAAACACACTCTCGGACAACCACTAGGGCAATGATGAAAAGGCATAAGGAGTTTAAATAAGCCTATTTCAGCTCTGATTGACCGAAAATCGGCCTTTGACCCCAGAACGTGTGCGCGCGCGTCTCCCTCGTGACGTTACGCGCACGGTGATGTCGTTATCAACATGGGCAGCTGTAGGGCTATAATTTGGCATGGATCCACAGTGGCCGGCGTCCATCAGCATGTTGCAGGGGTCAGGTATACAGACACACGGCCACTGGGTGCAAATGCCACAAAGTGAGGCTGAAGAAGTTACAGATGGTTATTAGGTTGCGCCACAGTTTCTTTTTTAAAATTTGTGTGTTCTAATAATTAATAATTTTAGCGGATGGCACTGGGCTGTCCTGAGAATTGCATATGTTTTGACTGCATTCATGTAAATGGCAAAGTTATATGCGTTAAATGTATTGTATTCGTCTGATTGTTCGGTAGCTTGTTCATTCCCTGAGTTTGTTCGAATGAAACTACCGAACAGTCAGACCTCCCCTGTGTGAAGTGTGCCTTCAATTACCCGTTGCAACATTGTTGGTAATTGACAAGCTGAGTAGCCGTCCTTTGTTCTCGGGGTTGGCTGCCATTCGGGAAACGAACACGTGGCGGCGGCCATTTTAAAACTCCCGAACAGCGGTGTTTTGCCGTCGAGTGTCTAGAACTCAAATCGGACACTCGACTTGGCGAACACCGCTGAGACCTCCACAAGCCCGGTCCGTTCGGTTCCAAACTACCGAACGGCCCCTCGTTCGGTAGATAGAAACAACCGAACGAGGGGATTCAGGCGAACCCTCCCTAGTCTCTGTAACTGGAGGCTTTCGAGTAGTTTGTTCCCTTACTCCAGGACCGACCACAGGGCCCCATCGCATGGAACCCCACTCGGCTGTTCTTTCCAGCGCGGTCGGTCATTTTATTCCCTCCATAAATTTCCCGAACCCCTGGTCTGATCTGGGTGATTTTTGGATATGTTGTTCACTCAGATCAGGGCTACCAGGGGATGTATAATTTAAACAGGTATCCCTAGGTTTAGGGGTACATCCAGAAACGGGGGGAATTGGTGTCCTGGATAAGGGGATTATGATGCAGTCTGAGGGGAGGAGATGTGTGGGAGGTTACTAGAACAGGATTGGCTACTGTACTGATTAATGGAAATCCCTCCCTTGCATGGGAGCAGGCTTTATAAGGCCACTGTCTGAATAAATCTTTAGTTCTGCTCCTGATACTGTGTGTCATCCAGTTATTGGGATTGCTGTTGGGATACTGATGTGATACTTTGCCTGCTGGATTTATAATTGCTTGTTCCTGAGCCTCCCTGGGATCCAAAGTGGAGATAGGCTGTGTAATACCAGCTCTTCGCTACAATAATATAGTAAAAATTGTACTTACAGTAAAAAAGCCAAACAGAAATGATTATAATTCAATATATAGGAATTGGTGGGAAGTCCAATTTTTGAGGTAATTGGATGATGAGGTGTAGATCTGTATTTATGGAGGTCTTGGGAAGGTGATGTCTCTTGATCTTACAAGGAGAGTTGAAGCAGCAGAGTCAGCAAAGAGTTGTGTAATATTCTCTCTCTATTTCTATTATCTCTCTCACATCAAAGCAACTAAAAGAAATAAGACATGCTGTTCCCTGGCGGTGATTTGCATGGCACGTATATGACAAGATTGGTCAACCATAGACATGCACCTAAGGTTGTAAAATGTTTTAAACTGACAGTCTTAAAAGAACTCTCCAGCCAACCCGTTTTACTCACCTGGTTCCAGCGCCAGGAGCCTTGTGAAGCCGCGCCCCCTATATCATCAAAATGACGAAATAGGTGGGCGCGAGCAGGGAGCAATCAGACGCTTCCATTGCTCCCTTGTGCGCGGCTTCGGCATTCATGCCGCCCTCTGAAGTCCTGAGCGCACTACCGCACATGCGCGCGGCCGCGTTGACTGACAGCTCAGCTCGCGGTCTTTGCCCGCCCCTTTCCTCTGCTGACAGGCAGGAGAGAGAAAGCACGCATACAGTGCCTTCTCTCTCCTGCACACGTCAGACGTATTTTAATACGTCTGACGTGTACAAGGCCTTTTTAGGGCCCTACTTGATAGGAAGTCCCTCTGGTGGCCGTCTGAGTGACGGCCACTGGAGGTATTCCTATCAATCAATGTAAACACTGTATTTTCTCTAAAAATACAGTGTTTACATTAGATTGTCTGCAGGGAGCTATAGATCTCACCTGAACAACTACATTAAGCTGTAGTTGTTCAAGTCACTATAGTGTCCCTTTAATGGTCTTCCTGCTTCTGTGCAGGAAATTTAAAGGACCACTCCACACCCATAAAGCACTTCATCTTCAGTATTAAAGAGCCACTATTTCTAGAGAAATCTGCACTTTTTTAGTAAGGTAATGAAGCATCCCTGGCTGTCAATAAAGCAGTCATGGCGATTTGCTTTTATCTTCCTTTAGCTCCCCTCAAGTAGAACGCGCCTGCCTCCCCCCAAATACTTCTTCTCAGACCTTAGATCGGGGCAGCATTCATTCTGAATGCTGTGCAGTTTGTGTGTGCCCCCATGAGTAGAAGCGCATGATTGAGCAGGAGCGCACTTGCACAGAGACATAGTTTCAGAGGCTTCTCATTGAGAAGCCTCTGATAGGCTATTTCCCCCGTGAAGAAACAGTCTCTTCCGGGTGAAAAGGGGCCTGCTTGCAAAGGCTACAGTTTATAAGAACTCGGCTTTTGCAAGTTCTTTTAAAGGGACACTATAGGCACCCAGACCACCCCAGTGGTCTGGGTGCAATGTCCCATATCCCTTAACCTAACAGTGGTAATTATTGCAGTTTCTGAGAAACTGAAATAATTACCTCTCAGGGTTAACTCCACCTCTACCAGACAGCCACTTAAGGGACATCCGGGTGTTTAGATGACTTTTCGTCAGTGCCACCGGAATCCCCAGATGAAAGCATTAATCAGTGCTTTCCTATGGGGAAATCCTAATGCAAGTGTGGCCATTGCCGCACATGTGCATTAAGGGTTCCCCGCCGGCTGATGCCAGGAGAGGAGAGTGGGCGGAGCTTGACCCAGCGGACATCTGGATTCAGGTAACAGACAACAGGGGTGCCGTGGGAGGGGGGTGCATGGGAGGGGGGCACTGTAGGAACCTATAGTGCCAGGAAAGCGGCTTTGTTTTCCTGGCACTATAGAACCTCTTTAAAATATATCTGCATGCATTTTTTCATTGGGGGTATATTCACTAAACAGTGATATATTTTATAATTTATTTTTAATCCCAAAAATGTACCTTTGAATGGTCATTAGATCAAGGAAAACCATAGTGTCTAAGTGTCTGTTTTCAAACACTGTGCGACCCAAGATGTGTGTATTTGGCCAAAGGATCTTGTCATATACTAGAAGTAGGTATGGGTTTTTCTCATTTTGGTTATCCGTCTAGCAGGCAGGTGTTGTGGAGTGGTGCTCTATGGACACAAGATGTTGAACAGTATCCAGCGACTGATTTTTTGGACACACACACCCCACCCCCCCATTCGGCCCATCTAGTCTGCTCAATTTTCTAGATACTTTCATTAGTTCCTGGCCTTATCTTAAGTCTAGGATAGCCTTATGTCTATCTCACGCACAGGGCCATTTGAAGGAATTTGGGGGCCCCAAGCAAAATGAACATGGAGGCTCCCCCACTTCCAACCCCCCCACCCCCCACATGCACGCAAAGCCTACAGGAACCACAGCATAGCCATACAGTTTAAGTTCACCCACACTTTATATAAATAAAAAAGGTTTACAGTGCAAATACTGCTTAGCGCTCTGCCCTGCCCCTTAGTGGTCTTTCCTCTCCCCACCCTCCTTACCAGTCTCTCCTCACCCCCTCCCTGTGTTCTCCTCATCTCCGCTTCTCCTCACCCCTCCCTGTGTTCTCATCTCACCTCCCCCTTCCCTATGTTTTCCTCATCTCCAACCCCTCTCCTTTGTTCTTCTTACTCCTCCCCCCATGTTCTTCTTACTCCCCCCCACCCTCCTGTGTCCTTCTTACTCCCCTTCTTCCTCCCTGTGTCCTCCTTACTCCCTCCCTGTGTCCTTCTTACTCCTCCCCTCCCTCCCTGTGTCCTTCTTACTCCTCCCTCCCCTCCCCTTTTCTTACTCCCCCTCCCTCCTGTGTCTTTCTTACTCCTCCCTGTGTCCTTCTTACTCCACTCCCCTCCCTATGTTCTTTTTACCTCCCTATGTTCTTTTTTAATCCCCCTTCCCCCTATGTTCTTTTACCCCCCATGTTCTTCTCACCTCCCCTTCTCTGGCTGTAGCGTGGCCGAGCTCCTCTTCCTCCTGTCAGTCCGGCCGGGTACCGCGCGGTACAGGAGATTCAGTTTTCTGTTCCCGGCCGGACTGAAAGGAAGTGAGGAAGAGGAGCCAGGAGGAAGAGGAGCCAGGAGGAAGAGGGGCTCGGCCACGCTACAGGGAAGGGGAGGTGATGATGAGGAGTGCTGCAGCCTTATAGAAAGCACTGGCTCTGCTTGGGGCCATGGGCCAGCTCAGGGCCCCAAGCAGTTGCTTGATTTGCCTGTCCGGTAGCAACAGGCCTCCTCATGCATGCCTGAACTCCTTCACTGTGTTAACCTCTACCACTTAAGCTGGAAGCCTATTCCATGAATCCACTACCCTCTCAGTAAAGTAATACTTCCCAATATTCTTTGTAAACCTTTGCCCCTCTAATTAACCCCTTAAGGACCAAACTTCTGGAATAAAAGGGAATCATGACGTGTCACACATGTCATGTGTCCTTAAGGGGTTAAAGACTATGTCCTCTTGTTGTGGTAGATTTCTTCTTTTAAACAGTCTCCTCCTTTGCTGTGTTGATTCCCTTTATATATTTAAATGTTTCTATCATATCCCCCAATCTCGTCTGTCCTCCAAGCTATACAGGTTTAGATCCTTTAACCTATCCTTGTTCGTTTTTGTTCTGCAATCCATGAACCAGTTTAGTAGCCCTTCTCTGAACACTCTCCAAAGTATCACTATCCTTCTGGAGATACGGTCTCCAGTACTGTGTACAATACGCCAAGTGAGGTCACACCAGTGTTCTGTACAATGGCATGAGCACTTCCCTCTTTCTCCTGCTGCTCTATTACATTGTCTGTCTACCTTTAAAGTGGCACTATCATGGCCGAATCCAGTTGTTTTTTTAACCCCCCCCTCCCGACTCCACTATGTCTAATTGTCCCCCTAGTCATCCCCAAATGCCCCTAAGCCCCCCAGCCGACCTATTTTTTCATCTTTACTTTGTGCCCGGACCAAGGTCCTGAATGTAACACAGGAACTGCACTCAAACTTCCAACCTTAGAACTAAAATGGGTTAACCCTAGAAGGACTTGGCACCCAGACCACTTCATTAAGCTGAAGTGGTCTGGGTGCCTAGAGTGGTCCTTTAATGAAGTGGTCTTGGTGCCAGTTCCAGCTAGGGTTAACCCATTTTTTCATAAACATAGCAGTTTTAGAGAAACTGCTATGTTTATGAATGGGTTAAGCCTTCCCCCATTCCCTCTAGTGGCTGTCTCACTGACAGCCGCTAGAGGCACGTGCGTGCTTCTCACTGTGATTTTCACAGTGAGAGCACGCCAGCGTCCATAGGAAAGCATTATGAATGCTTTCCTATGTGACCGGCTGAATGCGTGCGCAGCTCTTGCCGCGCGTGCGCATTCAGCCGACGGGGAGGAGAAGAGGAGGAGAGCTCCCCGCCCAGCGCTGGAAAAAGGTAAGTTTTAACCCCTTTCCCCCTTCCAGAGCCGGGCGGAAGGGGGTCCCTGAGGGTAGGGGCACCCTCACGGCACTGTAGTGCCAGGAAAACTAGTATGTTTTCATGGCACTATAGTGGTCCTTTAATTAAATACAATCAAGCATATCTGAAAAAAGGGAAAGGAACCACCCACCAAACATACTTGAAATGGAGCACTCATGAAAAGGGCTCCAAAGTAATTAATGTTATAGGAATGCGCAGTGCATATGTAAACAAATTAAGCATTTTTAAAGAATTTATTGGCACAATGTAGAGTCTCCCACAATATATAATCATCCAACAGCAATTAGTGGACAAAAATCTTTTTAAATTTTTTTTAAATTTAATTTTTGTTTTATAAAAAATGTTTTATTTCCTAAGCGCTCATCATAGAAATCTCTTTAAACAATAACAACAACCTTAAAGAAACCGCACAAATATAATTTTATAGCAAAATAATATCACAAGAAAAAAGATATGAGTGAAAGCACAATATAATATTACAATTAATCCAATTTAAAGTGCAAAGACAATATTAAAGTGCAATTTATATTACAATTAAACAAAAGTGCTTTAGTTAATTCTTGAGATTGAACAAATTTAAAGTGCACAAAGTATTAACAATAAAGTGCATACGGATAATATAAAGTGCATAAAGCAACATATAGGAGCTATAAGCAATGCATCTTTACATGACACATAACATTGTGATTGGTTGATTAAAAACAACCAATCAGATAGTTATGAGTCAAATCACACAGCATGGGAAAATTCCAAAGAACTTTGCTGTGTAAAATGACTCTGAGCATTCTGATTGGTTGGATTTCAAGTCAACTAATCAGAGTGCTGTGACAGATAAATTTAGAGACTTACACTTACAGCTTAAACCAACCAATTAAAGCGCTCTAAGACTAATTGCAGGGCGTGGGAAGGGCCCCCACCCACAGCTCATGGGTGGGGGCTGGGGAGGAGGACAATAGGTCCCCACCCTTATTGTAATTTAGGGCCCCCACCTGCCACTCAGGGGTGTGGGCCGGGGTGGGAGGACAATAGATTCTTCCCCCCCAATTTTCATTTAGGGCCCCCACCCCGCTGATCAGGGGTGGGGGCAAGGGGGAGGACAATAGGTGTCCCACCCCCATTATCATTTAGGGCCCCCACCTGCCGCTCATGGGTGGGGGCTGGGCTAACTTTCTCTCACCCCTAATCCAGTCTCCCATTGGCAGCTTGTGAGTGGTTAAAAATGGGAGCTGGTGAGCAGCCCAATGCTGGGGTTCTAAAAAAAAGGTTCCTCCTATGTATCTCACTCATGGAAAGTAAAAAAAAATATATTTTATTTTAAACCAGTTAGCAATGGACAGAGCTCTTACAGTAGAAACCTTAGTGAACTTTAAAAGAAAAGAGATGGGGTGGGGTTAGGGGTGTGTTGTTTTACTGTCCTTGCTTATAATTAATTCAGCTCTCATCTAGAATTGATTTTACAAAGTTAGATAAATACTAATAGTTTGTTTTCATTTCTTTTTCCTCCCATCCTGTCAGCAGGTTGTACTCTGGTAAAAATGAGCAAACTCCTGGCAGCATTTGGAGAATAGGGTTATGTATGGGAGCAGCAGAGCAGATGCCTTTTTGCTCCAGTTGCTGGGCTACTAGGGATACAAGTAATATGTTGGTCCACCATGGATCTGTTAAAGGGACTCTCCAGTGCCAGGAAAACAAACCGTTCTCCTGGCACTGCAGGTACCCTCTCCCTCCCACCCAACCCCCCCACCTCCCCTTCCTAAGTTGCTGAAGGGATTAAAACCCCTTCAGTGACTTACTTGTATCCAGCGCCGATGTCCCTCGGAGTTGGGTCAGGGTCTGCCCACGCTCCTCCCCCGTCAACATCATCCAGCGGGTGAGACCTATTGAGCATGTGCTGCAGCCGGCGGGGGAAAACCTAATGCGTATCCGTGGCAGTGCTGCACACGCGCATTAGACCTCCCCAAATGCTTTCAGTGCTTTCCTATGGGGATTTCAGTTACGCTGGAGGTCCTCACATAGCGTGAGGACGTACAGCGACGTTATAGCACTATAGTGCTATAAACACGGAAGTGCCCTCTAGTGGCTGTCTAGATGAGGAGTTAACCCTGCAAGGTAATTATTGCAGTTTATGAACACTGCAATTATTACACTTGCAAAGTTAAGGGTAGTGGGAGTTGGCACCCAGGCCACTCCAATGGGAAGAAGTGGTCTGGGTGCTTGGAGTGTCCCTTTCAGGAAATAAAGAGGGACATAGCTGACTGGGCATTATATCCCTTCAACTGTTCAGAAGTGTCAGGCTGGACTAGGGTACGGATAATTCAGGGCATTGGGGGTGCAAGAAATAATCTTAGGTATCTACGGTACTCCGTATATGAATAATTTCAGATGAGAGAATGCACAGCATAGCCTAAAAAGGGCTGGGTGACACAATTTCTGCTTGGGGGAATGGCCTCCCCTTGATCTGTAAAGCTGACACAAATTCTTCCAAAAGACTTATCTTTCCCCCAAGCTAAGCTTCAAATATTTGTTTTACCCAAATACAGGAATAGCATAATTTTACATTTGCATTTAGACCACACTTCCAACATATCAAAATTGTATTGCCAAGAGCTAGGGTTATTCACTAAACCAAGAATTGTTGGGAAATGATCATGAAAGAGCCTCACGTGATTTTCATTATTTATTTATATATATATATAATTCAGCTGTTTTTTTACCTATAAGGTGAACCTGTTAGGTCACTTCCTGGTTGAAGGACTAACCCAATAATCAGTATCCATGGCATTCGTAAACAAGCAATATTCAAGATATCAACCTGCGTCTACACTGGCTATTACCATAGCAACAAATCACGCATTATTTGCCCTTAAGCAAGATGTCAGCTATGGCTTTTTTATGATAATGGGTACGTAACCAGTGCCATATAATGTGCTGACTCTCTCCCAGATTCCCTCAGGTGTAAATGATGGCTGCGGAGAAGAGACGTGCGGTCGGAGGCTCTCCGGTCCCACGGCCTTCCCCTAGTCCCGCTAACGAGACTGAGTTCCTGTCCCAAACAGGGACCCGAGACATGCTGAGGGAGGCCGTGCTGAAGCTCGTGGAAGCCAGGCCGGAGGAACCAGCAGCTTTCCTGGCAGATTACTTCGAGAAGCTGGGGCATGATTCGGCTGAAGGAACAGTTTTGATCGGGGACCACGGATCACATCTACTGGGGCAGCAACGCCTGGGGCGGGCCATGTGGTACCTGAAACTGGCCCATCACTCTCAGAGGTCCGGATAGCCAGCTAGCATGGCGGGGGCCGGGGAGGGGGCACTGTGTGCTGCATCCTTAGAGCCATCTACAGGGATGAGCCTTAGTCAGAGGGCGGCCTGGCCTGGGTAGGAGAGTCAGGGGGCTGGATCTGCTCACTTATGGAGTGGGCTCCGTGAGGGTGAATGGTAGAGAGCATTGACACTTGGCTGGACACACCCTTGACATACAGATGACGGAGGGGGAACAAAGCCCTGGCAAAGGGGAAAACAAAACAAAAAACAAGTATTGGGTATTAGATGCACAGTATTGTATTAAATAGTTTTGCTATTGATCCAATTGTAAAGAAAAAAATCATTTGGAAGGCATGGGGAACATAAAGTCAGATTAAGTGTATTAATCCCTTAAAAAAAAAAAAAAGGTATAGTGTGGAAGATACCGTAGTTAGGAAAATTATTTAGCGCTTCTCATACAAGTCCAGAATTTAAATCAATGTCCCTAGATGTAATTATATACAAAAACAAAAAAAAAGTAGAGAAATATTAACATATGTACAATGTTAGATTGAGGGGGAAGTCTAAGCTGAAGGAGATAAAGGGAAATGGGGTGTGGGGGGAACTGTAGAAAGAAGCATGTTTTTAAAGTTGAAAAAGATGGGTCAAGTAAGCCACATAACATAATCCATCATGACTATTTTGATTTGGGAACTTTATATTCTGCCTATAATTTCTGCTCTCGTGAAAGTTTCTAAATGTTAATTTTAACATAGGCACCAAGACAACTTAACTTGGCCATTTTGGCATATAGATCATGTCCCTGCAGTCTTGCTCAAATTTTTGTCATTCAGGAATTAAATGTTTATGCAGCCTTAGTCACCACTCTATGTGAAAAAACTAAGTTTGTCTGATTGTTGCAAATACTATGTTGCAACAATCTGACAAATTTAGTATTTTCTGAAACTTTTTGCCACAAATATTATCTCTAAACTTTTTTTCATTGAATACAACTATAGAGGCAGGCAGATACAATACAATTATTCTATTATTATTCTATAATTATTATTCCTTTGTAATTAATCAGTCTGAATTCTACTACGATTTACTGCCTCAAGCATTTAGCTGTACGAGGATGTTTAGAGGGTTTGATTTAGACATCAATAGACTTTTCAAATCTTAGTGTCCGACTCTGTCTGTGAGAATCTACCAACTAATATATAGCAAGGGGCCAATATCTTGAAATCATTAAAGGAAAACTCAGTTTTCCTGGCACTGCAGGTACCCTCTCCCTCCCACCTCCCATCCCAGGTAGCTGAAGGGGTGAAAACCCCTTCAGGTCACTTACCTGAGACCCCGCCGATGTCCCTTGGCGGTGGTTTCGGGTCGGCGTTGCTCCTCCCAGTAATCACGTCAGCCGGTAGGCGAGACTGAACCTGCCCACCGGCTGAGGAAACCTAATGCGCATTAGGGCTCCCCATAGGAAAGCATTGAAAAAGATTTTCAATGCTTTCCTATGGGGAATTGAGCGACGCTGGAGGTCCTCATACAGCGTGAGGACGTCCAGCGAGGCTCCAGCAAAGAAAATCTATGCTATGAATCAGTAAGTGCCCTCTAGTAGACAGCCACTAGAGCTGGAGTTAACCCCGTAATGTAATTATTGCAGTTTGTAAAAAACTGCAATAATTACAGTTGCAGGATTAAGAGTAGTGGGAGTTGGCACCCAGACCACTCCAATGGGCAGAAGTGGTCTGGGTGCCTGGAGTGTCCCTTTAATATATTTTGATCTCTGATGTACTTTTCAAATTGATTGATTTATGAACTTTATAATGGTTTGCTATCATCTTGAGTCATCATTTCTATCAGTTTTCTTTTTAACGCACGTGCACACTTTAGCACTGGGTATTTTTATTTTATTTTTTTTGGAACATTTAATAAAGTATTTTTTAAATTTCACTTATGAATTTCTAAGTTAACCACTCTTCTTTGAATATCCTTTAGGGTACTTTTCTGTGGAGTTCTCCCCCTTCAGGGTTGCTTTCCATTTGTATTTGGGTTTTTTCTATCCACACTCTCTCTTACCAATTCCCAATTGAGACTTCAGTTAACAGACTATAGTTCTTCTGTTAGTCTATTCTCTGTATATTTTAAAGAAATACTTGAAACCACTCAAAACCTTTGGCTTAATGAACTGGTTTTGGTGTACAGATCATTACCTAGCAGTCACACATATAAAGGTACAATATAGGCACCATACCACATAAGCTAAATGTAGTTGATATGGTGCTAGGTGAGCCCCTCTTACCTCAAGGGATGAAACTGTTCTTAAACCCCAAGTTGTCTCCAGCACCGATTTCAACTCAGGCAGCATCTGGCTTCTGAAATTTCAATTTCAGCCAAACGGTGACTCCTCATTTATAAAACTGACTTTTTCAAGCTACTTTTATGAATAGGGAGTCACTGATTGGCTGAGAGTATCAGCTGACCGCTGTCAGCAGCACCCATGCCTAGTGGCACTCTGTGCTTCCTGAAACTGACATTTCAGAAACCAGCAGAATTGAGATGGGTGCTGGAAGCAACTCTGGGGATAAACTGTTTGTGAACGGTTTAACCTATGCGGTAAGAGAGCGCCCCCAGGGCCTTCGGGCATCATAACCTAATTTAGATTACATTGTTATGGTGCCTGAAGTGTTCTTTTAATTCTTTTCCATTTAGGCGGAGACTCACACACATCATGCATGAGAAAAATAAATAAAAATCAGGTTATTGCAGTGGTCTTGGTACAATGTCCCTACTGGACTTAGAGTTGTTTGGAGAAGCATTGCAGTGCTAAGTCTGCCTCCAGTGGCTGTCTACCAGTCAGCCACTAGAGGCACTTCCGTAATGTTACCGGACTTTTGAACAGCTGACACTGGATATCCTCACGCTCTGCATGAGGACATCCAGCGTCAGCTATTTCACCAAAGGAAAGCATTGATAGAAGGGCCTAATGCCAGAGTGCCGCGACCCAGCGCTGAGGGACAGAATTGCCACTGGTTGCTCAGTTTGTGTGACAATAGTTGTTTATAATAACCTTGATGAGTGTGTGCGTGTTTATGCATATGTGTATATATTAATAACTTTGATGTGTGTGTGTGTGTACATTTTTTTTTTTTGGCAATATTGCATAAAAAAAGTTTAGAAGTTTATTCACTAAATGGTGAATTGTAGTAAACTGAAAACCATTTAGCTGGAAATCAAAACTTGGTTTTATTTGCTCAGGTTTTTCAAATTCAATGTACCCCAAAAGCAAATAGGAGATTAAAGTTTCCCATAATCTGCTACAATGGACACCATGGGAGTTAAGTCTGATAAGGTGTCCGAAGACATTAAAGAGGAGAAGTGGATTGTGTTTGCTGTTCCACTGGTTTCCATGGTGACTACCCCACTTCTATTATTATTAACCACTTTTGAGAAACAATAGTTTTTTATTCATAACCCCCAATATATATTCAGAATAAAAAGCATGTGCAATTAAAAGTTTGCTTTAAAGATTACTTGCTTAATAAAATGTTTGTTGGTCCTTGTAAGTTATAGTTCTCTTTCTATAAACAGGACGGCTTTTAACAACAACCTCAGCATTGCATATGACTGCTTGAGTGCAGGAGGGAAGAAAAGGAAGCCTGGCCTTAGTGGGAAAAGTTACAGTGAAGTATTGCGAAGAATATGCCGGGAAGGTGACCTCCCTGAGGAAATCTCCTCTTCTCTCCTGAAGAGGATACAGTGCCGAGACCACGAAGCTGTGCCATTTGACGTTTTCCGATATGGTGTGTTAACATGCTTTGTGCTGTTGGAATTTATGTGCAAAGCGGAAACGTTGTTCAGTATCCTAGATGGGAATGGGCAGGCTGATAAAAGTCTATGTCAAGCTGTGCTGGAAACCCTTGAAGAGGCTTTGGTTGCCAGTGACATTTGTATCCCAGCCAGCTACCTGGAAGCAGGCTCAAAACTGGGACCCGACTGTTTGGCTGTAGTCATGGATAGGGCTTTTTTGAATAGGGATTCTGGCGTCACTATGACCTTACAGGAGTTTTTAATGGATGCCTCTGCCTTGTTCCTTGAAAAAGTGAAGTCTGTTCAATGATGACTGCTGTCTGATCATTTTTACTCTAGATATGATTTAATAGTTAATAGGAAAATCTGAATGTTGTCCATGCACATGGCTTGGAACAATTAAAGAGGTATAGACCAGGCATAGACAACCTTCGGCACTGCAGATGTTTTGGACTACACCTCCCATGATGCTTTGCCAGCATTATGTTTGTTAGAGCATTATGGGGGTTATAGTTCACAACACCTGGAGTGCCGAAGGTTGCCTATCCCTGGTATAGACTATGGTATTTAAAAAAAAAAAAAAAAAATTTTTTTTTTAAACTTGCTGCTTCCCGTTTCAAGCTGCAAATATACCATATTATTTCATAATGCAATGAATGAAATGTTATCTTGTCTGTTAGTATTAATTATTGCCATGGCTGTTCCATGGCAAGCATCCCTATATAATTGTGCTTTGCAATGTTGAATATATACCAAATAGTAATATAGCTTGTGTGACCATTAAATTATAATAAAACATGTTTTATAACTCGGAAACCAAATTCATATCCTTTATAGTTTGTTTATGGTTTTATTTTGTTTTTTTAACTTGCACTTTATTGAAGTTTTGGCCAAATATACAACAAAGGAGACAAAACCGCCCAGTTTTTTTTCCCTGATCTAGTATCCCTCCCTTTCACAGCAGTTTGCAAGGAGTCTGCTTCAGCAGGGTTAGATATTTATTTTATGCTCACCTGGTCAATAATTTTGTAGGCCGAGCCAGGGACCAGCCTCCAATTTACAAAGACCCAGAAAATAGCATATTTGAGTCACTAGCCTGAGTACCCCCTTTGGTGACCAGCGGGTGATCTAACTCCTCCCTGAGGAGTTGAAAGCAATCCATTGGATATATTGGTCCGAGCCATGGCTAAGCCTCCTTCACAGACAATCCAGTAAATGACAATTATGTAAGGTGACTACCTGGGTTTGCCTCTTTTATGCATACCACTATGTCTGGGGTCTGTTTTAACCCCTTAGTGACCAGGCCGTTTTTCAATTTTCTTACCGTTGGGACAAGGGCTCTTTTTACATTAATGTGGTGTTTGTGTTTAGCTGTAATTTTCCTCTCACTCATTTACTGTACCCACACATATTATTATATACTGGTTTTCTCGCCGTTAAATGACCTTTCTAAAGATACCATTATTTTCATCATATCCTATAATTTACTATAAAAATTATTATAAAATATGAAAAAATTGAAAAAACACACTTTTTTAAACTTTGACCCCCAAAATCTGTTACGCATCTACAATTGCCAAAAAAACACCTGTGCTAAATAGTTTCTAAATTTTGTCCTGAGTTTAGAAATGCCCAATGTTAGCATGCTCTTAGCTTTTTTTGCAAAGTTATAGGGCTATAAGCACAAGTAGCACTTTGCCATTTCCAAACCAATTTTTTTCAAAGTTAACCCAAGTTACATTTTAACACTGATATATGTCAGGAATCCCTGAATAACCCTTCACATGTATATATTTTTTAAACGAAGACAACCTAAGGTATTAAACCTGGGGTATTTTGAATCTTTTCATGCAGCCATTTTAGCACCAATCTATGCCAAATTAAAAAAAAAAAAGAATAATAATTGGTGATTTCTTTGAGACCTATAGCAATTTAAGAATATATGTACTGAGAACGTTAAGGGTTACTGCCAAAAAACACCCCAATTTGTGTTCATCATCATCTCCTGAGTACAGGGATACCACCCATGCATAGGTTTTTTCGGCTTCTCTGGGGGCTAAAATACCTTATTTGGAGGGTGTGCATTCCAGTTTTCCAACACAGTAAGTCATCATGCATCCATGTCCCATTTGGGGCATTTTTGAAGCTGGACAATATAATTTACCCCCATCAAACCATATATTGTTTGAAAAGTAGACACCCTAGGGTATTTCAAATGGTGGTATTTTAACACTTTCTATTCACTAATTCTACCACCAGCCTTTGTCAAACTTTTGGATAGTCGTTTTTTGTGTAATTTTTCTCTCAAATTGTACTTTAGGCATGGATTTTTAATTCCGTTTATGTGTTACTGACAAAGAACACCTCAATATGTGTTCAGCAACATCTCCCGAGTACAACAGTGCCCCCAATGTACAGGTTTTATGGGCTTTTGCAAACTTACAGGGGTCAAATGAAGGGCTTTTCCATGTTTGCACATTGAAATTTGCCAGATTGGTTTGCTGGGCCTATGTTGCCTTTGACACTATATAGCCGCCCAGGAATTAAAATTAACCCCATCATGGCATATCATTTGTAAAAGTAGACAACCCAGGGTATTCCAAATGGGGTATGTCCAGTCTTTTGTAGTAGCCACTTAGTCACAAACGCTGGCCAAAGTTAGCATTTTTCTTAGTTTTTTTGCATTTTTGTACACAAAAACTGCACTTTTACTGGTGATTTCATTGTCAGAATACGTTTTACTGATTTAGAACACTCATATTTGTATTCAACGAAGTCTCCCGAGTATAACAATACCCCCATGTACAGGTTTTATGGTGTTTTGGAAAGTTACAGGGTCATTATAGGGCTTGCCCGATCTAGTTGGCCAGATTGGTTTGCTGGACCTTTGTTGCCTTTTGAGACCATATGGTAGCCCAGGAATGTGAAATAACCCCATCACGGCATACCATTTTCAAATGTAGACAACCCAGGGTATTCCAAATGGGGTATTTACGGTCTTTTGTTGTAGCCACTTAGTCACAAACGCTGGCCAAAGTTAGCGGTTTTATTTGTTTTTGTATAAATGTTTTGGTTTTTAAATTTTATGTGCGTGTGTATATATTACACATATATATGTACACACACACTAACTGTGTGTGTGTGTGTGTATATGTATATATATATATGTGTATATATATAATATTTATACACACACACTTTTATTTTCTATATATGTACACTGCTCAAAAAAAATAAAGGGAACACAAAAATAACACATCCTAGATCTGAATGAATTAAATATTCTTCTGAAATAGTTTGTTCTTTACATGAATGTGCTGACAACAAAAATTAAAAATTAAAAAAAAATTCAACCCATGGAGGTCTGGATTTGGAGTCACACTCAAAATTAAAGTGGAAAAACACACTACACGCTGATCCAACTTTGCTGTAATATCCTTAAAACAAGTCAAAATGAGGCTCAGTAGTGTGTGTGGCCTCCACGTGCCTGTATGACCTCCCTACAACGCCTGTGCATGCTCCTGATGAGGTGGCGGATGGTCTCCTGAGGGATCTCCTCCCAGACCTCGACTAAAGCATCTGCCAACTCCTGGACAGTCTATGGTGCAACGTGACGTTGTGGATGGAGTGAGACATGATGTGCTCAGTTGGATTCAGGTCTGGGGAACGGGCAGGCCAGTCCATAGCATCAATGCCTTCGTCTTGCAGGAACTGCTGACACACTAAAGCCACATGAGGTCTAGCATTGTCTTGCATTAGGAGGAACCCAGGGCCAACCACACCAGCATATGGTCTCACAAGGGGTCTGAGGATCTCATCTCGGTACCTAATGGCAGTCAGGCTACCTCTGGCGAGCACATGGAGAGCTGTGCGACCCCCCAAAGAAATGCCACCCCACACCATTACTGACCCACTGCCAAACCGGTCATGCTGGAGGATGTTGCAGGCAGCAGAACATTCTCCACGGCGTCTCCAGGCTCTGTCACATGTGCTCAGTGTGAACCTGCTTTCATCTGTGAAGAGCACAGGGTGCCAGTGGCGAATTTGCCAATCTTGGTGTTCTCTGGCAAATGCCAAACGTCCTGCACGGTGTTGGGCTGTAAGCACAACCCCCACCTGTGGACGTCGGGCCCCTCATATCACCTTCATGGATTTTGTTTCTGACCGTTTGAGCAGACACATGCACATTTGTGGCCTGCTGGAGGTCATTTTTCAGGGCTCTGGCAGTGCTCCTCCTGTTCCTCCTTGCACAAAGGCGGAGGTAGCGGTCCTGCTGCTGGGTTGTTGCCCTCCTACAGCCTCTCCCTGCCTCCTGATATACGGGCCTGTCTCCTGGTAGCGCCTCTGTGATGTATGGGCGGTTGGGTATGTGTGAGTGTGTGTGAGTATATGTATTGTGATATATGGGCATTGGGCAGTTGGGCTGTTGTTGGCTGTGAATGATGCACTTCCTTTCTTTTGGTTCTTGACTTCCTGTTCCTGTTGGCAGTTGGTGGAATGTTCCAGGGATTTGAAATGGCGGCTGCAGAAACCCTGTGTAACAAGGCTGCAATATAGTATATATGTATTAATAAAGTGAGTACTTCGTTATACAGGAATTATTGACTTATTTGTACAAAACATCACAGCCTCCATGCTCTGGACACTACGCTGACAGACACAGCAAACCTTCTTGCCACAGCTCGCATTGATGTGCCATCCTGGATGAGCTGCACTACCTGAGCCACTTGTGTGGGTTGTAGACTCCGTCTCATGCTACCACTAGAGTGACAGCACCGCCAGCATTCAAAAGTGACCAAAACATCAGCCAGGAAGCATAGGAACTGAGAAGTGGTCTGTGTTCAGAACCTGCAGAACCACTCCTTTATTGGGGGTGTCTTGCTAATTGCCTATAATTTCCACCTGTTGTCTATCCCATTTGCACTGTGATGGAATTCCAGTAAAATAAAAGTTTAGCAGGCCAAGATTGCCACAAAGCATATGTAGGTACATGTGTTTGTAGTATCAGTTAGTTAGTTACACGTAGCTAAGATACTGTCATCACTGTACTGAGCATGTGCAGGAATGCAGGAACTGGAATTACGCGTCCCTCTCCTTTGTTTCAGATGAGCCACGTGGTTAGACTGGATGGATGAATTTAGACTCTATTCATTGATTAGGTTAAGGGTATGTGTGGGCGTAGCTAATTATGGGAGGAGCTACAGTGCTATATAAGGAATCTACTCTATGTATTCAGTGCTCAGATCTTTGCTGTTTTTGGTGACATAAGTCCCTCTGAGTCCCGGTCGGTGAATCGAATAAAGATCTCTTCCTTCCTGAAGAAACCTGTGTCCATCTCTCTGTGCTTGGACTCCGTCAGTTTCCCGGTAACATCTTTGGTGCATTGGCCGGGAAGCTCGTCGTTAACGGTGGCTAGGAAGCAGAGGCGTGAGACGGTCTATCTTTGCCCACATTCTCTACGGCTGCACCCCTGAACTTCTGCGTGGACCTCCCTTCGTCTCGGCGCCACTGGTCTGTTGTCCAGGAGATCATCGGCCTCTACGTAGTAAGTGCTGGGGTGTCCCCGTCGATGAGTGTGAACTCAGGTTCAGGAACGAGGAGGTAAGACGACTACTGTTTTAGACGGTGTACCCACTAGGGGTATTGGATACCGATTGTGCGGTAAGCCCATAAGGGGTTTGAATTGGAATTGTGTATGGAATTGGCCCCCTCCAGTGGAGGGAAGGAGCGAAGGCGCACCGCTCATAATTAGACGCCCTGTAGTCAGCCCGTCTAATCTTGGTATGGAGTGTAAATAGTTTTAGGTAGTCCCACGAGGTACTGTCCAATAGATTAGTTGGGAAACTGTAAAAGTGTTAAAATTTATTATAGTAGAGTGTATATCTTGCTGGGTAGCGTGAGCTCTGCCGTCTAGCGAGAGTGTGAATAGTGTGTAACTGTATCATAGCGCACGGTACCATAACCATGTATTATAATCACTGATACTGTAAATAATCACTAATAACTGTCGTTTATGTTGTATGTTTAACACCATAACTACTATTAACTGACCTTTGACTTTAAAATTGTATTCTAACCAATGCTAACCGTACTATAACTACTGTTTGTAAAGGCGATGTTACTAGGGTGTGTTATAGATGGGTAATTTAAATACTGAGAATTATAGCGTGGGTAATTGTATAATTTCGCCAAAAAAGGTACAGTAATAGTGATTTAGTGTGTGGTGTAACAGCTGTGTGTGTATGAGAATTCTCCTTGTGTTTTGCCAAGTAACTGTGCCACGTGGTGCTGTTGCTAAGGTAACTGGTGTGACTGTTGAAACTGTTTGTCTATTTGTACTGCTTTGAATCAGACGCTCTGTTGAAATCATGGGTGCTTCTGATTCACAAACAGTCCTTTGTCTTGTATGTGTAAAAAAAAAACGAAAAAAAAAAAAAACCTTTCTAAGGAATATGCTGTTTGTGATTATGGTGTAACACTGTCCCCCAAAAGATTAAAATACTTTGTGTAGCAGAGGACGGCCTCTTCTGGTAACCAGTGTTCCTGTGGATCCTTGATCCAGATTTAATACAGCAGGTTTACAGTGTTATAAATAATATGTTGGGGCTATACGAGTAGTTTCTGTATACAGATTGTTGAAACACTGCTAAATGGAACAAACTGTGCTAAGAGGAACAATGGAGTCCATGGTAGCCAGAACTTGTTTGTCCTCTAAAACCTTAATTACAACTGCTTTGGACACCTCCCCCCCTCTTGCATCTGATTACCAACCCCTAATTCATCCTCCAGAGCCAGAGTAGCCCAAAACTGGTATAGCTGGTATTTGCACTCCCCCTGCTCTATTGTCCACGCCTACCCACATACCTATCTGTTCTTTTCTTTCAAATTCTTGTATTTCTGTACAAACAGTTTTTTTGTAATTTAAATTGACTTCCTTTTTGGTAGGAGTGTATTTTAGCATTGAATTTTATTTACAGTTAAATTGTGAGGAGAATTCTTAATAACAGTAACTGAGTCTATTGGATCAGATAATTCTCTGCAATGACATTGTACCATAAACATTGAAATAGCACTAAAACTATTGAATACTGTGTGTCTTCAGTGATAGTCTAAAATACAACTGGAAGAAATGATTAATGGTATAGGATGCTGGAGTACACTTTTATCCTTTTTTTTAGTTACTGGATGGGCCCCTCCCAGCTTTGTTCAAAATATCCCTTTTACTAAAGTACAAACTGAGATGTTAAATTTACCATAGAACTAAAGCTTTACTCAAGCCTAGATATCAGGGTGAGCAGTGATTAAAATAAGTAATAATAAAATAAGTGTCACGGCAAGGGTGTATAATTTATCATTACACTATGGAATATCATCTTTTAATGTAATTTGTGTAGTAAATGGCACACATTACAGAGATGCTATTGCTGAGGTCAACAGGGGTTACATCTTTTGAAGCTGGGACCCCCCACAGAGGTCAGATGACAGAAGGGGTAGTGTGAATGGCATAGCAATGTGAAAAGGATTTTACTATATGGATGTGAAGTCTGCAAGGTGTGAGGTTCTACACTTGGAAAAAGTCTGAATGTCTCTTCATCCATTTGGCATGTACCTTGTAAGTGATGAGTAAATCTCTTTGATATGTAAATGCCATTAGCTTTGTTCTAGTATCATATCCAAAGGAAGGACAAAAACATTCATATTTACCCCCACAGAATAATAATTAAGCCTCATTTTTGTTATATTTGGAATGTGACAAGCGCCATCTTCTAACCAAGTCCAAACATGAGTGGCATAACTTGACCCTAGGGAAAGGAATTGTGATGTCCGTCCTATTGGATCGTGGGTGGGACGTGCAACATGTCTATGGAATGGGAAAATAATAACAAATTTGTAGATGCAATTATTATTTCTGTGGCAGGTACAAAAAAGAAGATAGAGTCAAATGTTTCCATTTGGATTGACAGTGGTCTGGAACAAAGGAGGTGGTCCGTTATTATATCTGTAGGTACGCCTTAACTCCACCCCTGGGCAAGACTTGATAATTCACAGGGTATATCTCCTGTGATTCTGAAGGGTGTTTGTGTACTTGCTTGGGGCCAAGATCTAATTTTGGGTGAGTCACCATCTTTCCTTGCCAGAGACCCCCTGGACAGAAGTTGTACTTTGAAAACCTAAGTGAGTAATTAGGACTTCTGTATTTTATCCTTTTTGTTTTTATCTGTTGGTGTAAATAATTTGTTTATCATATATTTTTATAGATGTACTGACTATCTTTTGCTCATAATAAACATTCATTTATTAAGTTTTGCCTTTGTCTGGTTAAGAATCACGTTACCTGAAGAAACTAGTTAGTATTTTTATAATTCCTTAAATATTGTACTAAGTAATATTTGGTGGGTTTTATTATTGATTTACCTGGGGGACCAAGGCACCCCATTTATAAATTGTCTTGGTGGTGGCAGCGTTAAAGTAGTAATAGTTATATTATTATGTTTAAGTGTGGGTGGTGTTAAAGGGGGATTTTGTCATTATTTCCGGTCTAGTGCAGACAAATAGTGTACTTTAACCCTTTCACCACCACAACTACGTCACGCACACTCTTGGAGTAGGGTGCGTTCGTGACAATAAGCACATAATTACCAGATTTTACTAATTACATGACGTAAAGTCATGATTTTATAAAGGACACGGAGGCGAGTATTAGGCTTTCCTCTTTCTTTATTCCTCAGCAGCAAAGAAAGCTAAGGTGTTTATTTGTAGAAAAAAAGGAAAAAGAAACATGTATAACTACCCTCACAGGGTTAACATTACATCATTATCTCCTATCCAATAGGAGCAGTCCTTCTCTGATATCCTTTCCTGTAACCTCCTCCTCTTCCTCTTTCTTGACGTTGCCGAAGTTAAAGTTCGTGTTTGTACCAAGTAACTATCTACTCGGTCGAACCTAACCTAAACAGAAAAAACAGTTGAACATTGAACTTGACCGTGAACTCCTCCATGGGGAATAAACATTGGAGACCTCCAGAAACTGATCCCCTTGAACTCGAACTCGTCGTCCATCCTAGGAGTTGTAGGATTGTTCACGCTGTAAAAACAAAGAAAATAGTGGTAAAGCGTGTCCTTGCCAACTATTGTCGTTTTACTCTTATGTATCAAACTTGAGCTGTTTATGAAACCGTTATGTTTAACCAAATCTGTCATAGTCAACCACGTTATGTATTACCAAGAACCACTTACGTGAAGAAGGAAAAAAGTGAACTCTTTCTACCAAAATACTTAGTACGTACCTGGGTTGGGATACACAACTTGTGTATCTGTTCCGGGTGGGCTAATACTCGCCTCCGTGTCCTTTATAAAATCATGACTTTACGTCATGTAATTAGTAAAATCTGGTAATTTTATTAAAGGACACGGAGGCTCTTATTAGGCTAGTTCAAAGCTGTGAAATAACCAGGCTCGACACGTGCTCTGTTTGCCGAAAGTAATATTCTTTAAACGTCGATTCCCTGGACCAGTCTGCCGTTCTCATGAGGTCTTCTAATCTACAACCTAGCGTGAACGCTTTGGATGCCATGGCTCCTCTAGTAGAGTGTGCGCCATATACGGAGGTATCTATGTGAGCTAACGTCATTATCCATTTCACCCAGCGGGCGAGGGTTACCGTGGAGACAGGTTGATGTGGTTGTCTGATGGCCAGAAACAATTCCGGATGTGTTGATTTCCTGAATTCCGAGGTTCGTTTCTCATATTCTCGTAGGCAGTGTACTGGACAGAGCTTCTCGTTGTGTGGGAACGAAGGGTATGAGACTGATGTAATTGACGATTTTGTACGTCTGGAGATGTTGAACGAGACTCCTGTGGGAGTAAAGGAGCGTGCATCAACGTCCAGTGCTCTAACGTCTGACACCCTCTTGCAAGATAGCAGGCAGAGGAGCATGGTGAGCTTCGCTGACAGTTGTTTGAGCGTAAGTGCCTCGTTTTGAGGCCAGGACTCTAACAGCGTCAGCACTGAGTTGACGTCCCACAATGACGAGTATCGGGGTTGTGGTGGGCGGGCAAAACGAATTCCCCTCAGGAGACGGCATACCAGAAGTTGCTGACCCATCGGGGTTCCCTCTATACCTTGGTGCCCTGCCGAGATTGCTGATCTATAGACGTTGATGGTCCGGTAGGCCAATCCTTGATTATGTAGGTTGGTGAGGAACCTCAACAGATAACTTACAGGAGCACGTACGGGATCCATTTGTTGTTCCATGCACCAACTAGCCCATCCGTTCCAGGCATAGAGGTAGGAGCGTCTAGTTCCAGGTGCCCAGGCTCCCGCCAGTAGTTCGACAGTGTCCTGTGGAACGTCCGGTATGCTCCAGGGTCCCCTGAAAGGAGCCACGCTAAGAATTTGAGACGCCCCTGGGTCATGAGGGGATGTGGGTTGCCCTCTGGGTCTGATAAAAGGAACCAGGGGTCCGGAAGTCGTCTCGGGAAGTCCATGGACATTTCCATTAGGGTCGGGAACCACGGTTGGGTTGTCCAAAACGGAGTTATGAGGACCAGGGTCGCTTGAGTACGTCTCAGATGTACTATCGTGCGAGCTATGAGGGAGAACGGAGGGAAGGCATATAATCGGCTGTTCGGCCAGTGTTGGAGAAAAGCGTCCGCTGCTAGTGCATCTGGGTCTGGTCTCCAACTGAAGAACGTTGGCAGTTGTGAGTTCAGCCGGGATGCGAACAGATCGATTTGCATCGGGCCCCAGAGCGCTTGAAGCTGTAAGAACACCTCGCGGTCCAGCCGCCAGTCGCTGGCGTCTTGTATGTGTCTGGAATGCCAATCCGCTACCACGTTGGACATACCCGGGATGTATTCCGCTTGGACCGAGATGTTGTGTTCCAGGCAGTGTTGCCAGAACTCCTTGGCCAGGTCCGCCAGTATCTTCGATCTCGTGCCACCGAGGTGGTTGATGTAGCGGACTGCGGAAATGTTGTCCATGCGTAGGACGATGGAGCAATTGGTTATGCCCCCGAGGAGGCTCTTCAGTGCGAAAGATCCCGCCATGAGTTCCAAACCGTTGATGTGTAATTTTTTCTCTGCGCACGACCAGGTTCCTCCGGTGGAGGTAGGCCCGCAGCGCGCTCCCCAACCGTGCGTGCTCGCATCGGACTCTACGATGAAGTCCGGGGCAGACCCGAATATTGCTCTGCCGTTCCACGCCTCCATGTGTAGCAGCCACCATGTGAGTTCCTGTTTGGCTTCGTAGTCGAGTGGTACAGAGTCGGAGTACGCATGCCCTGAGCGTAATTGTGTGGCCTTTAGACGCTGTAGGGCCCTGTAGTGTAGTGGCCCCGGGAATATTGCCTGAATGGAGGCTGAGAGGAGTCCGATTACTCTGGCTAGTTGCCGGAGTGTCAGTACCGGCCTCTTGAGTGTTCTGCGGATCTCCTTTTTGATGAGTTTTACTTTGTCCGTTGGTAAGCTGAGCGTACCGGTAGTCGCATCTATGTGAAAACCCAAGAATTCCATGTTCTGGGACGGGGTAAGCACCGATTTCTCCCAGTTGATGAGAAATCCTAGACTCTGTAGCAGTGTCACTGCCCATGTCAGGTGCTGTTGTAATTGACGGGCTTCGTGCGCCATGATCAGCATATCGTCCAGATAAATGATCATCCGGACGCCTCTGCTGCGTAGAAAGGCGACCACAGGCTTCAGCAGCTTGGTGAAGCACCAAGGGGCCAATGAGAGACCAAAGGGAAGGCAGCGGAATCGCCACATTGTCGCTTCCCATTGGAATTGGAGCAGGTGGTGGCACTCTTCCGCAATGGGGATTGTAAGATATGCATCTTGGAGGTCCAGCTTCACCATCCAGTCCCCTAACCTGAGCAGGTCTCGCAGGCAGTGGATACCCTCCATTTTGAAATGGTGGTACCGCACAAATGCGTTTAGTGGCCGCAAGTTGATGACTGGGCGCACCCCGCCGCCCTTCTTGGGTACCAGAAACAGATTGCTCATGAACCCAGGGGATGGTGAAGGGACCTGGTATATGGCGCCCTTCGCTTGGAGGGTGCGAATCTCCTCGCTCACCAATCCCTTGTCTTGCGTGGAGAAAACTATGCGGTGTGGTCTGTGTGTTTGGACCGGGGTTCGCACAAACTCTATGTGGTAACCCCTGATGGTGTTGAGGACCCATACGTCCGCAGTCAGCTGTTGCCAGGACTCTACAAAGTGTAACAGTCTGCCCCCACAGTCGGTACACCCGGGAGGGGGGGAGGTAATACACTTACCATAAGGTCGGCGGCTGTACGAGTTGCCTCTGGGTCCTCGAGGTTGCCATGGTCTGGCCCTGACCGGGAAGAAGGGTGAGGGCGTACGGCTCTCTGGCGGCTGGAATCTAGCCGTGGCGGGACCTCTGTATCCCCGGTAGGAACCGCGGGAAGAACGGCCGGGCAGACGGCCCCGGTGTCTGCCGGCCCCACCAAAAACTCTGGGAGAGAACACTCTTTTTATATTTGTCTGTGCCTTGTCTAGGGCCGTAAAGGTGCTCACATACATTCCCAATTCTTTGACAAAGTTGTCACCGAACAGGAGACCCTTGGCTTGCGGTCCCGGTTCGGTGAGAGCCATGTTAATTAGCTTGGGCTCGATTTTCATTAAAATAGTTTTGCGCCTTTCTGTGGCCAGTGCAGCGTTAGCGTTGCCGATGAGGCAGATCGACCGTTGGGCCCAGCCTCTAATGGCTAGTAAATCAAGAGGCGTTCCCTCATTTAAGGCCGCTTCGACCAATTCAAAAATCTTGGCACTAGGGCCCAATGTATCCAGCACTTTATCTTGGCAGTGGCGTAGGGAGTAATCAAGTCCCTTCTTCGCCTTCCAGCCAGACTTACCCAAGAACTGTGCTATTTTGGGGTCGATATCAGGTGTAGCACAGGCCATGTCAGGCACAGTCGGGCGTGGGCATTCAGCCCGTAGTTTCTGCCTGGTGGCCTTATCCAAAGGTTTGCGGATTCTGGCCGCTATGTATCGTGCTACATGATCGGTTGGATACCACTCCGCCGATCTCGGGTTTTGTAAGGTGTCTGGGTCGAACAGAGGTTCGCCCTGAGGGTCCAGAATAGTGGTTTCATCCGCCGTGTCATGCACGGGGTTGGCTCGAGTGCGTGTCGGACTCTGGTCCGGGGAGGAAAACTCCCATTCCTCTGAGTCGGCTTGGTCCGACCCGTTCAAAACCTCCTCACTATCCGAATCAGTGTCGGAAGAATCTGACAGGGCTTTTGCCCTCTTCCATGTCCACGCCGCTTTTGCCCGGCGGGTGGCTCGTTTTCGTGGGGGCCCCACGACCTCAGGTGCGACAGGACGTACCCTGTCCGTCAGTCTAGTTTTGGAGGCATGCGTTCCCACATTGTGGGTTTTACTAATGGCCTTACGGCCCTCTCTGCTTAAAGGTTCCCCCTCTGCGGCCCTGGCTTGAGTCATGCTGGGGTTAGACGCCTTAATGGCACTCGAAATAGAGTGTGACAAGTTATCCGACATAACCCCCATGGCGGTAAAGATAGCTTGGGTAACTGATTTTGACATGGTGGCGTCCAGGAGCGAGTGGAACTCCTCAGAGTCCAATTGCTCCAGAGGGGCCACCATGTCCCTATGCAGGGATATGGGTTCAGCCACGGAGGGCCCGTGCTGGGCCTTAGTATCACCTTTATCACTGGTGCCAGGGGCAGAAAAAGCCTCAGGGGTCTGCATCATGGGTTTAAAAGACAGGATTATGTATATGGCTACCTGATGTGTCAGTAATGAGCTACTAAAACAGGCAAGAGACAAGGCAGCAGGACAACAAGCACAGAATGCACTGTTAGCTTACCGAGTGTTCCCTCAGGAATGGCTCCTGGGATCACTGGCAAGCTAACAGTACAGCAAACAAACCAATCAGCTCGCGCCCTGCAGTGGGCTGAACGAGCTGAGGGAGAAAAAAGAGCGGCAAAATTTTTCCTAGTGCCGCCCCTTTAAGATGGGCGCCAGTATGGGCCGCGCATGCGCGCGCGGCGCTCACGAACGAGAGGCCGCGGCGGGGGAACCCTCCGCCGGGAGAGAGAGCCGGTCCGGTCCTCGAGGGTTCCCTGCGCCGCGTGACCGATGAGGGGGGTAATAAACTACCCAGCGGCAAGTGTGGAGCCGGTATCCCCGCGGGGGGGCGGGGTACCGGCGGGACAATGTGGGAAAGGGGCCCCCCCACGGAGGGTTAGCTTGAAGGGGGGGGTGTACACCAAACGCACAATGCGTTCTGCTGAGTTTAAGTCAGCTCACAAAAACAGGCATAATTTAAAATAAAGTCATACACACATATATAAGTACAAATGACAGTTAAGAGAAAAAACAAAGTGTTACTTAGCTGAGGCAGCAGCAAAGAAAGAGGAAGAGGAGGAGGTTACAGGAAAGGATATCAGAGAAGGACTGCTCCTATTGGATAGGAGATAATGATGTAATGTTAACCCTGTGAGGGTAGTTATACATGTTTCTTTTTCCTTTTTTTCTACAAATAAACACCTTAGCTTTCTTTGCTGCTGAGGAATAAAGAAAGAGGAAAGCCTAATAAGAGCCTCCGTGTCCTTTAATAAAATTAAAGTTTATCTGCTTCATTAGATTTTAGGGAGGCACTTTAGGGCCACCTACTGGCCATCTTTGGGAGTTACATTGATATTACATTGCATAATCATCTTTTAACGCTATACTGGCATATAACAGACAGAAGTAGGATTGTTTATCTTATTTTAATATATTTATTGCTATAAGGTTTTATTTTATGTATAAATATATTAAAAGTTAAGTTTTATTATTAGACCCATAAAGATTATTTTGATACAATTACCCTCTGGTGACACCTACTGGTAGGTTTTTGGTTTAACACTTTAAAAAAATGTTTCATCCACCAAATGCTGACTAGTAAAATTAGCTCACCCCCTTCCACCTATCTTACTACTCTCAGACTGAGCAGCCTTACCGAAGCCCTGTATTAACCCGACAGATGACTGGTACCCTCCAACCCCGACATTATCAAATGCCTCTCTGATTGACACCGGGCCCGACACACATTAATGGTGAAGGCCAGTTACAACATGCCGACCCCTTTACCACTACGGATTTCTTCAACTGGAAAACCCATAACTCCTCTTACACAGACAAACCTCAAGCCATGACAGATTTGATTACCTCCATAATCCAAACGCACAATCCCACTTGGGCTGATTGCCAGCAATTGCTTATGACAATGTTTAATAACGAGGAAAGGACTCGGATTAATAAGGCGGCAATTAAAGTGCTTGAAGAAGTGGCCCGTGCACAGAATCAGGCCAACCCGGTAGCATGGGCTGCAGCTCATTACCCAAACGTAGATCCGAATTGGAATGTTAATGGTGCTGATATGGCTCACCTAAAAGCTTATAGGGAAGCCATTATTACTGGCATGAAAGCCGGAGGGAAAAAGGCGATCAATATGTCAAAGACGGCTGAGGTATTGCAGAAATGTGATGAGTCGCCCAGTGCCTTTTATGACCGATTATTGGAGGCATACCGATTGTATACCCCCTTTAGTCCAGAGGCTCCTGAGAATTCCCGGATGGTTAACTCTGCCTTTGTCAGCCAGGCTTACGGAGATATTAAAAGAAAATTGCAAAAGCTAGAAGGGTTTGTAGGGATGTCTATAACTCAACTAATGGAAATAGCAGATAAGGTTTATATGAATAGGGAGACAGAGACGAAGAAGGAAGAAGAGCGTAAGATGAGAAGGAAGGCAGATATGTTAGCGGTAGCTATCGCTGGTGTAGATAGAAGGGAAAAGGAAGTGTACAGGGGAACCGAGAAAAGCGAGAATAAGTGGAATAGGGAGTCTTTAAGTAGGAATCAAAGTTCATGTTGTAGAGAGGAAGGGCATTGGAAAGTGACTGTCCACAGAGGGGATATATTGCAGGTGGTAGACAAGAAGAGAGAAGAGGGTGAGGTGGTTATAGAGGACGAGGTAGAGGAAGTTTTGGAGGAAATAGTGGGAATAATAGAGGAAGTGTTCAAGGGGACAGATATTATCTACCCACGCAGAGACCTAGAGAAAGAGAGGATAGAGACTTTGTGGGTTTGGCTGACACTGTCATGGAGGACTATTGATACCGACCGGGCTCCATTCCCCTTGGTCGAGCGGAGCCTATGGTCGATGTAGCAATAGGGGGAAAAAGGAGTTCTTTCATGATCGACACTGGTGCTCAACATTCTGTGGTAACCGACCTAGTTGCTCCTCCTTCAGGAAGAACTATCACTGTAATAGGAGCAACTGGGAGGAGTGCTGCTAAACCGGTTCTCAAAAGTCGACTCTGTACACTGGGAGGCCACGTAGTGAAACATCAGTTCCTTTACATGCCTGAATGTCCAGTCCAACTTCTAGGACGGGATTTGTTGTCGAAGTTACAAGCACAGATAACATTTCTGCCTAACGGAACGACATCCTTGAAGTTTAATGGACCCTCAGGTATAATGACACTATCAGTACCAAAGGAAGAAGAGTGGCAACTTTATACAGTGATGACAAGTCAAAACCCTAAGAGTGATGAATCCTTGTATAATATACCAGGAGTGTGGGCAGAAAATAACCCACCAGGACTTGCTCGCAATATCCCACCTATACGCATCGAACTAAAGCTTGGGGTTTATCCAGTAAGCCTGCGACAATACCATATACCTCAAAAGGCGAAGAAGAACATACAGTCTTATTTGGATAAGTTCATAAGGTATGGTATCCTAAAATTCTGTACTTCCCCCTGGAATACTCCATTGTTGCCTGTTCAGAAGCCTGGGTCAGATGAGTATCGTCCTGTGCAGGATTTGAGAGCAGTCAATGATGCGGTAGTAGGTATACATCCAGTTGTGCCCAATCCTTATAACCTGCTTGCCTTGATTCCGGGTGGGGCTACTTACTTTACAGTCTTGGACCTTAAAGATGCCTTCTTTTGCCTACGAATTGCTACAGAAAGCCAGTGTATCATTGCATTCCATTGGGAAGATGCTGTAACGGGCTCAAAACGTCAGATGACCTGGACAAGATTGCCCCAAGGGTTTAAAAATTCACCTACCCTATTTGGATCAACATTAAGTCAGGACTTATTAGATTTCAAGTCCATCCCAGGAAAATGTGTACTACTACAATACGTGGATGATTTGTTGATAGCGGCAGTTACTAAAGAGATATGCCAGCAAGCAACTTATGATTTACTGCACATTCTTTGGAAGTCAGGATACAAGGTGTCCAGGAAGTAAGCTCAGTTGTGTCAGCCAACTGTCAAGTATCTGGGATTCCATATCTTTGAAGGTCAAAGGATAATGGGGCCTGAAAGAAAAGAGGCTGTATGCCAAATACCAACACTTAAGAACAGAAGACAAGTGCGAGAATTCTTGGGGGCAGCAGGCTTCTGTAGGATATGGATTCCCAGTTATGCAATACTGGCGAAACCCCTCTATGCCGCTATTAAAGGCACGGAACATGATTTCTTCCTGTGGACCATCGAACAGCAGAACGCATTTGAGGATGTTAAGAAGGCATTGATGAGCGCCCCCGCATTAGGTCTACCTGATCATACACATCCATTCTACTTATATGTACACGAGCAAAGAAGGATGGCTGTGGGAGTACTGACACAGTATCTGGGATCATGGCAACGTCCTGTTGCGTATATGTCCAAACAACTGGATGCAGTAGCCAGTGGTCTTCCTCCTTGTCTAAGGGCCGTAGCTGCCGCCGCCCTGTTGGTAGCAGAAGCTGACAAGCTCACTCTGGGTCAGGAACTCTATGTGCGAGTCCTGCACGCAGTACAGACGTTGCTAGACTATAAAGGTAATCATTGGTTTAGCAATAGCCGAATGACTAAATATCAAGCCATGCTATGTGAAACTGTTAATACCCTGAATCCAGCTACCCTTTTGCCACAACGTAATGAAAGTAAACATGATTGTTTGGAGATAATGGATGAGGTGTTTTTCAAGCTAACCGGACCTTCATGATTTTCCCATTCAGGACCTGGATGTACAGTATTATACGGATGGTAGTAGCTATGTGAAAGAAGGAATTACTCGGCAGCAGGTTGTAGAGTTGGGTAAAACTATGGAGGAGGTACAGTAATGGGTACAAGATAGGTGACCTGTAAATATTTATCCACCTGTCCATTCTTACCATCCAGGAGATCAAGTTTGGATAAAGGAGTGGAACAGTGTACCGTTGGGGCCAAAGTGGAGGGGTCCTTATGCTGTTCTTTTGTCTACTCCAACAGCTATAAAGGTGGCAGAGGTGACTCTGTGGATTCATCACTCCAGGGTTAAACCAGCAGCAGATTTTTGGCAAGCTACTCAAGATCCTGAAAATCCCTGCAAGATCCGGTTGAAGCGAGTGACCCAGTTAGATTAAAAGTGTTTTTTGCGAAGAGTATTGTTACAAGGGAACATCAACAAAGATCTACAAGTAGGTGTTTTGACGGCCACAATAAAGCCTGACCACCTACCAACGTTTAAGCCAGAGGAATCCTCTGTGAAGAACAGTGAGGATCAGAAGGACTCCATTCCCTGCAGCCCTCACACGCCTGGAAGCTGAGGTGCCGTCGCACAGTCGAAGAATTAGGAAGAAGATGTCAGGAGTAATGTGTTTGATGATGTATATATGTGTGTTTTTAATTATTCAGGAAGGTAGAGGTACCGACACACCAGGCTGCGAGGTTTGCATTAAGACTACGAAAACAGGCAATCGTATTTCCCAGACCCTTATTTGGCATTCGCAATATGAGTGCACAGGACATGTATCAAAGTGTAGATACCTAGGTACAGATTATAGTGTATGCCATATAGGAGCAGGAGAACCTAGGTGTTTTAATCCTGAGTATCAGCCCTGTACAATTTGGTTGACTATTCGGAATGAGAACGAACAGGGGAGCCTGATAAATAAGACTGTACTAGAAAGCGTACGTTCTCCAGGTGTTTTGCTATTTGATGCATGTAAGGCGATATCAGGTAGTAGGAAGCCATGGAATGTATGTGGTGGTCTTAAATGGGAAAGAACGTATGGGTCTAATGATAAGTATATTTGTCCTAGTAATAAGCATAAGTATATAGATCCAAACTGCCTAAATAAAGACTACAATTATTGTCCGTATTGGTCCTCTGTGGGATGGGCAACCTGGGGACACACAGTAGATAAGGATATGATTATCACTAGATTGCCTACCAAGCCATATTGTAAGTCTATGGCGTGTAACCCAGTCCATATACTTATCAAGGACCCAGAGCTATTTATAGATAAGTTTGGGAATCTATTTGGGTTCCAAATATATGGAACAGGTTTGGATCCTGGGACGATATTATACATAGGAATAGAGACAGATACAGTGGCCCCCCAAACTCATCAGGTTTTCCATTCTTTTTATGAGGAGATGAGTGTGGAAGATAAGGTTCCCCATAATGCCAAAAACTTATTCATAGACCTAGCTGAGAGCATTGCTGGTAGTCTTAATGTAACCAACTGCTATGTGTGTGGAGGTACTAATATGGGAGACCAATGGCCTTGGGAAGCAAAGGAGGTAATGTATTCTGGTTCTGAGACGGTTGAACAACTAATATCTTCTCAATCTGATTATCAAGTGAGTGTTAGAGGTAAATCTGAGTGGCGATTAAAGACCTCCATTATAGGTTATGTTTGTATAGCAAGGAAAGGAATAATGTTTAATACATCTGTAGGAGAATTGACTTGTTTAGGGCAGAAAGCCTATAATGACGATACAAAGGATACTATTTGATGGTCAGCTTCAAATGTCTCGGAACCTATTAATCCATTTGCCAATTACACTAATTTGAAAGAGGTATGGTTTGATTTATCTGCTACATCTAGTTGGAAAGCCCCAGCAAAATTGTACTGGATTTGTGGTAAGAAGGCATGTTCGGAGTTACCACAAGACTGGGAAGGGGCATGTGTACTAGGTATGCTCAAACCATCCTTCTTCTTGTTGCCAATTGAAACAGGAGAGACTTTGGGAGTTAAAGTATATGATGTAAATCATAGGAAGAAAAGGGCACCCCTAGAGATAGGTACCTGGGAAGATGATGAGTGGCCTCCCCAGCGTATTATAGATTATTATGGGCCAGCTACGTGGGCAGAGGATGGTACTTATGGATACAGAACCCCAATATATATGCTTAATCGTATTATAAGATTGCAAGCAGTAGTTGAGATAGTTACCAATGAAACATCACAAGCGCTCAATCTCCTAGCGAAGCATAACACTAGGGTGAGGACAGCCATCTACCAGAATAGATTAGTTTTGGATTACCTATTGGCAGTAGAGGGAGGTGTATGTGGGAAGTTTAATCTAAGCAATTGTTGTCTTCAAATAGATGATGAAGGGCAAGCAATAGCTGAGCTTACTAGCCATATGGTTAAGCTAGCACATGTACCTACTCAGGTATGGAAAGGGTATAATCCGAGTAGTTGGTTTGGTAGTTGGTATGAGCAGTTTAGAGGAATCAAGGCATTGGTAGGTGGAGTCATACTGATTTTTGATGTTGTGTCTCCTTCTGCCATGTCTGATTCCTTTGGTAATTAGGTCTATACAGAGTATTATAGAAAGTATAGCAGAAAGAAAGGCCGCAGCACAGGTAATGGCTGTTTGCAGGTATGAAGCTCTAGATCAAGGAGAATACATGCAGGAAGAGGAATGTTGAGGGGTTCGTATCTTTAGAGGATCGCAAAGTCTAGTCTGGTTTATGGCAACTTGAGGTGTAAGCAAACTATGATTGGTGATGCATCTGGAATTATTTTAAATCAGAAGCATCAAAGGGGAGAATGTGATGGAATTCCAGTAAAATAAAAGTTTAGCAGGCCAAGATTGCCACAAGGCATATGTAGGTACATGTGTTTGTAGTATCAGTTAGTAAGTTACACGAAGCTAAGATAATGTCATCACTGTACTGAGCATGTGCAGGAATGCAGGAACTGGAATTACGCGTCCCTCTCCTTTGTTTCAGATGAGCCACGTGGTTAGACCGGATGGATGAGTTTAGACTCAATTCATTGATTAGGTTAAGGGTATGTGTGGGCGTAGCTAATTATGGGAGGAGCTACAGTGCTATATAAGGAATGTACTCTATGTATTCAGTGCTCAGATCTTTGCTGTTTTTGGTGACATAAGTCCCTCTGAGTCCCGGTCAGTGAATCGAATAAAGATCTCTTCCTTCCTGAAGAAACCTGTGTCCATCTCTCTGTGCTTGGCCTCCGTCAGTTTCCCGGTAACACTGCGACCGGGTACCGCCATTACCATCTGCAGCCCCAGCCCGGGCGGCAAACCGCCGGGGCTGCCGTCCAAGGGGTCCATGCTGTCACGGCCACCCGACGGATGTGGATTGTGAGGTGGCCCGGTCAGCGCTGGACGCTTTAAGAGCGTGACCGGGCCCCCTGTGATTACATCACAGAGCTGGGAGGAAGTGACTGCACGTCACTCCTCCCAGCTAATACTGGGAGCCGCGCGGGAGGAAGACCAGGGAGTCAGAGTGGGAACTCTGACTCCCATGCACCTGAGCCACCACTGGACCCCAGGGAATGTCACCCTCCTGCACCTTAAAGGTAGGAAACAGGAGGGTGACTTAAATATAATGTGTGTGTGTGTCTTTGTATGTATGTGTCTTTGTATGTATGTCTTGTGTATGTATGTGTGTCTTGTCTTTGTATGTATGTGTTGTGTGTGTAGGTGTGTCTTATGTATGTGTCTGTATGTATGTGTCTTGTGTCTGTGTGTATGTGTGTGTGTCTTTATATGTATGTCTTATGTGTGTGTCTGTGTGCATGTCTGTGTGTGTGTGTGTGTCTGTATGTCTGCCTGTATGTTTGTATGTATGTGTCGTGTATGTGTGCCTGTCTGTTTGTATGTATGTGTCTTTGTATGTGTGTCTGTATGTATGTGTGCCTGTCTGTTATAGTGGGCTATAGCAAGTGGGCTACCTAGCTCAGTCTTCCTACTGGGCATTGCTATAAGTAAGGTTAAAAAATAGAAAAAAGAAAGGTGCGGAGGGGAATTGAGGAGGGTGGGGAGGGGAGCTGACGCACAGATGAGAAATCATTTTATGCGCAAACAGAGAAGTCGTCTGAATATCACCGAAAGAGGAGACCTTTGTTTGTTCCTTACGAAAATCGAACCAGATATCAAATATTTAGTCTCGCAGTATCAACCTCAAGGATCTCATTAATCACTAGTAAAGGTAATTTCAATTGTTTATTGTTTTCTCATTAAACTTTATAAAGTTAAAAACATTATAAACATGCATTAAGTAGAAATAAAAAGATAAATGTACGTACATTTTTTTTTTTTTTTAAATGCCCTCCTTTCTAAAGAATATTCAGCACTTGCACGAAAACTGGTGGCCGGTAAGGAAATGTTTCCATCAAGAAAGGTGCATTAGTGAGCGGTAAGAAGAAAAAGGTTGATTACCACTGCTATACACAGTGTGAACTGAGTCTGAGTGACTGTCACTAGAGAGGTTACTAAGTAGTAATGTAAACACTGCCTTTCCTCTGGAAAGTCAGTGTTTACATTAAAAAGTTTTCGGAGAGAGGATAAAGACACCAGAACCACTACATTAAACTGTAGTGGTTTTGATGACTATTGTGCCCCTTTAACCTAGCCCAATATTTCAGCCAATGTTTTAACCTGCATCACAACTCTTCATCCAAAACCCATCTGCACCGCGTCTCCTCCCCCTCAGTGACGCCATACTTGTTGTCCCACCTGGGTTTATGGGAGTTGTAGTCCGCTCCTCCCTCTAGACTCTGGAGTTACCTCTTCCTGTCCTCGGCGCTATCTTCCTCTGTCCGGCGTATTGTTAGGAAAGCGGCTCTTTCTTTCTGTCCTTCCCAGCGATATGTCGTGACTTTCCAGCCGGCTAGAGGCTTTCCCAGCACTGTGATTCAGCCTATCCCGCAGGCAGACTCTCATCTCTCCGAACAGGCCGCGGGCCCCTGGGGGGGTCAAAGAGGAGCAACTATGGCTCGGCCCATCATGCCGGTACCCAGCTCACAGAAAGCCCTGCTGCTGGAACTCAAGGGCCTACAGGAGGAGCCGGTGGAGGGCTTTAGGGTGAACCTGGTGGACGATGGAGATCTGTATAACTGGGAGGTTGCCATATTCGGGCCCCCCAATACCTTCTATGAGGGGGGCTACTTTAAGGTGAGATTGTGGGGGCAAATACAAAAAAGGGGGGGTTTGTCCACGAGCTGGTGGTGGTAGTATAGTTATAGGCGGCTATGGCTTTTATAGGGGGCAGCAAGCTGTAACAGTGGGCACTACAGGCAGGGAGGGAAACAAAGGGGATCATTTACCAGGTTCCAAATCCATCTTATTATAATTATTGGCATTTGTATAGCCCCAACTTATTTCGCAGCACTTTACAATATTATAAAAGGTGGACATTTAACAATAAATGTAACAGTTACAAAATGTTAAAGGAACAATAGGTTGATGAGGATCCTGTTTTGTGTGTGTGTGTGTGTGTGTGTGTGTGTGTGTCTCTCTCGCTCTCACACACCATACTTTGATTCTTAAAAGGAAATCTTTATCACAAACGTAAATACAGTGACTGTGCAGAACACTGATGTAGCATTTTTAACCCTTTGATAATGTGTTGGTAATCTATATAGACTTAAGGTGTACTGATCAATATAACTCCTCAGTTTTGGTGTATCAAATGGAAAACAAAAATGCAGACTCTTAAATTTTGTGTAGTTCTACCACAAATACATTTTGTTTGTAAATAAGGTAAAACTCCTAAGCATGCTATGTCAAGCAGAAGGGAACAATGCAGTTTATCAACTTATTTTACAGTGACCTAGTGAATTTTAAAAATATAAACTGTTTCAAAGTAAGATGTGCCCTTTCAATATTGGTGGTGGTAATGCTCTGCTAGCTTTTAAAAATCAGCTTGTACTAACAAAGACTGCTCTTTGTGGTGAGAGCTGGAAGTGCCTCGGGATAGTTCCATTTACCCTCCCCCAATGTTATTGAAAGCTTTGCAGTTTGTTTAGGTGCAAAGGCTGCAAAATGGCTTTCAATATGTAGTATGGGATCCATATATAGTGTGTATCTCCTAGGCATTGCAGCAATGAAATTGAAAAGATCTCTTTCATTATCTCTGTATTTTTAAAGGCTCGTCTGAAGTTCCCTGTAGACTATCCGTATTCACCTCCCGCATTCCGCTTCCTTACAAAAATGTGGCATCCCAATATTTATGAGGTAAGTGATGTGAGATGTGTAAACCCGCTGTTGTAGGTTTTGTACTATTTCCTAACATATTGGTGCATTAACAAAATAAAATCCAGTACTTCAAGAATATGCATTAAGTTACATCTGAATACAAAAGCAAAGCGGAACATTCAGTGCAACGTTAAAGCCATTTTAAAGGTGAATTTACAAAGTTGCACTGTTGCCTAAATCCTCTTCTAGTGGCTGTCTCTCAGACAGCTACTAGAGTGACTTACTGGACCTGCAGGACTTAAGCTTAATGTCTCTACACTTTACATTAAGACACTGAATGCTCCACATAGTGATGCAAATTGCTGCAGCACTTTAATTTGTCACGTTTGTACACTAATCTTCTAATGCTTCCCTATGGAATATATTTAAAAATGTATCAATGTTTTTAATAAATAAATAAACATTGTAAAAGTTTTTCCAAAAACTGCATTTGCATTTCTTCAGAAGGACTAAAATAATTTGCACTTGGAAAAACTTACTTAAAGGCTATTTGTTTGGCATTGAAAAAATATTAATGCTTGGATTCTGGCAAATACTAGTAGCCTTTGTAGGCTTCTGGCTCAGAGCAATAGCTATGCAGTTATACCTGTTATATAGGCTGAAAAAAAGACTTGTGTCTAGCAAGTTCAGCTTTTCTCATATCTTTTTTTGCTTTTAAATTTAATATGTAAAAAAACGTTTGACGCTCTTTCAATTTTGCAACAAACTAGGAAATAGTTCCTTCTTGACCCTAGAATATCAGCCAGATATCTCTTTAGATCAAGAAGCTGTTACCCCTCTAATTAAAAATTATATTTCTAAAAATTATTTTTTTTTGAGTACTCATCCAGTTGTACAGACCTCTCCAGATGGCTCCTGCAGTCTAGCAAGCTATAAAAAGAGTAGGAGATAAGAAATTCTAAACTATCCTTCTGAAAATTAAAATTTTTTGCATTGCAGGGTTAAAGGGGCACCCACACCACTTAATCTCATTGCAGTGGTCTGGTTGTAGTGTCCCGTTTCCTTAAAGTGGCACTGTCACCGTTTCCTTAAAGTGGCACTGTCACAGAATTTGCAAAGGTGAGTTCTATTTACCTCTACCTGTCTCTCGCAGGCGCCGCCATCTACTTCCGGTGGGTCCTCTTCAGCTCCTGGTATTTAAGTGCCAGGAGCCGACGTCTCTGCTGTACTCTCGCGCATGTGTGAGGTCTACAGGGGATCCTGCAGTACTGTGGGATCCTTAATACATAAATCCAATTTTCTGCATTCGTCACTGGTGACGGCTGAGGGGGATTGATTCTTCTAGACAGCGCTAGCTGTGTCTAGGCATAGGAGAGATACAGAGATAAAGTAGTCCCTACTTTAACTAACTGAAATTCCAGCAAAGTCATTGTGAGTATTTCATAAAGATTCTATCTTTAATAAAAACTCATATTTCATATGGGGTGACAGTGCTGCTTTAAACCTGTGATGTAAAGCATTGCAGTTTTAGAGAAACTTCGGTGTTTACATTGCATTGTTAAGACTGCCTCTTCTGGATCTATGATGTTGCAGGTGGAGGAGCCTGCCCGATCCAGCGCCAAGAGGCCCATGTGCTGCTATTGGGTAAGTGAAAATAGTGTGTTTTTAACCCTTTTGTGATTGCGCGGCGGCACTTTTTAGGAATACAATTTAGTATCCTAACATTTTAGTGTTACTTTAAGGGTACAGGGACACTGCACCCAGACCACTTCAATGAGATGAAGCTGAAGTGGTCTGGGTGCTTATAAGTGTCCTTATAAGTTTGTTTTATATACAAAAGATGCACACCTTAGTTAATAACTAAATTCTCGTTTTTATATAAACAAAGTATATCAAACAAAATAGACCATGTTATAAGGCTATAATTAATGATAGAGGCTATACAACATGCACTAAATCAAACAGGCATATAAGCTTTTTTGTATATAATATGTTGTTTGGCAAATATGTATATACACATACACACTCTATATCTGCACAGCTCCCTCGTGTGTCCTGCAGTGAGCAGGCAGCTGAAATATGAGGTCATATATTGTGTGTGTGTGTGTGTGTGTATGTATGTGTGTGTGTGTGTGTATATATATATATATATATATATATATATATATATACATATACACACACACACACACACACACAATATATGACTTCATATTTCAGCTGCCTGCTCACTGCAGGACACACGAGGGAGCTGTGCAGAATGAGCACAGTAAGTAATGGGCCCACTTGCTGCCCGGACAACAACTGGGGCACATTACAAGCGGTTCAGGACTGCATGCATGCCGCAAGTCGGACACGCATACTTTACAGTATCAGGCTGCTGCTAGATATACATTGCTGAAGGAGCCACACCTTTGCACATCCTAGTCCTGTGATGACCCCTTTTAGACTTTTAACTAAGTTGCACTTGGCCAGTGGCTATTCACTGTTCAGCACCACATAAAAGCAGGTACCACATCTCCTGAGTATTTACCATGCAACTCTGTTGTAGTGACTGGATGCAGGGGTGTGAACTCCTTTCCCATGTTTGTTAATCTGCATCTCCCCAAAAGAAGCCCAGTGCATATTGACTCAATCTCCCCTGCTCACACAAGAGACAGTGGTTCACAAATTTCTCAAAGACTCTTTATTTTATGTGTTTATGAAATTTATTGTTAATATTTTTTATTTTTTTTGTGTGTAGTTTTTTTTTTTTTTATTTATTTATTTTTTTGTGGTTTTGGATTGGGCATAAAATGGCGTTTAATAAAAAAACAAAAAAAAACACAAAATACATATAACCATACTAAAAAAATAAAACAAAACTGAAAAAGAGGGAGAGAAAGGGAACAAACAAAGAAATGTAGAGAGAAGGGAAGTACCCCCTCCCCTGGATGGGCTTTGCAATGAAACAAACATCTATTTTCTGTAGTCTGTATATAGAATACTTTATTTAAAATCTGAGTGAGAGACTGGCTACTTTCCAATGTTTGGGAATGCATAGCCTAGTCGCCTTACATATTCTGAAGATCTGTTTTTTGGCCACAGGTGTGAGGCTTGTCAATCTTGAGGCCTGTCAAGATTGTCATCAATTAATCTAAAAAAAAAAAAAAAACAACCACAAAAAAAATCTCCAAACTTAAGGTTGCTAAGAGATTTTATTCTCCTCATCACAACCCCAAAAGCGAGAAATGAAATGGCTAGATATGTCAGAGATTGGTAGGACTTGGTACCATTTAGTTAGTCTTCTCAGAGTTCTCACACAGCACGTGCAAACAGTCACCTTGGAGGAATTTTCAAGAATCAGTCCTTTTCTCAGTATCTTGTTGTGTGTTTTTTTTTTTTTTTTTTAAATGATTTTGAAAAATTTTTTGTTTTTGTTTTTTTTCTGTCTAGCCATGGTTGAAGGTACCATCTTCATGAGTATGTGCATTTCCAACCCATTTCACCGATGGGAAATGGGTTGGAAATGCTGACTCCCATATTACTAGAACAACGTGTTATTAAACTAGCAACATTCCAACTTAGCCAATACAGTTGCAAGGACATAAAGAAATGCGAGTGTGTGTCTTTGTGGTCATTGTGAGATGGAAGGTTGTTTTATCAGAAGCTACTTGGTGTTCTTTACTACTTTAAACAAAAACACATTGTGTGATTTTTTAATTAATGGTTCTTATAGTCCTCATTATTGTCTGTACATGATATGTTGTATCTTTCTTGACAATGTTTAAGGTTTCAGTAAGTAGTTGACTGGAACAACTACAGATAATCACATGAGTATTTTCTTTAAGAGCAATGAAGACATTTTTAAAAAAGATTTTATTTAATTTTTTACATTTTTACCTTAAATACACTTATTAACTTTCATAATAATGCTTGTATTTAATAAGTCCCTCTCTTTGTTCAATATTGGAAAGTAATGCATGGAAAATTAGCATAACTAAACAGGTTTGTTGTGCTGGCTCTTACAGAATGGCGATGTGTGTATCTCTATCCTACATCCTCCAGTAGATGATCCACAGAGTGGAGAGTTGCCATCAGAGAGGTGGAACCCTACACAGAATGTGCGGTAAGGCTATATGTTGATAATCTGCCTTTTTAGTGCTTATTCACTAAATAATGAATTACAAAATCCAGGTTAAATAGCTAAATAATTGGAATATTTATCCAATTCAGCCATGTTAGCCTAAATATACCAATTTGGTTATGCATTTATGAAACATTAAATAAAAGCCTTCTAAAGAAAATAGCCTATTTTAAAGGAACGGGGGGGACGGGATTTGGGAAATCTTATTGGCGGTAAGAGCTGCATGTGGATTAAAGCCACTGTGGTTTAATATTTGTCTGTGAGGCTAAATTTTGAAGTCAAACCAACAAAGTAAGAAAAAACTGGAAGCAGGAATAGAGACATGCAACAAACTGTGCCTTATATTGCGACCTGGTTAGGTACCGTGCGGAGCGTCAGTTTTGTGCTGGAGCTGTACAAGAAGGGCATCAGTCTGCACGGTATGATGTTCCACAGCAATTGAGGGCTGTGTGGTAGTGTGATGCTGAATGGTAGGCTAGATATTCGCCTGGTTGTGCCCTGCAATCACGGAGTTTTGCTTTATGGCGACCGATTGGCTCTGCCAGCAAGCCACATCCCGAGGAACAGTATTTCTAACACTATAGTGCTGGAGTGACTGATTAGGTCCCCTGATCTCCTCTCTGTAAAATTCAAAGGTTTTTAGTTTAACTCTTTATCCCGTGGCCGGCCCCGTTTCCATGGCTAGATCAGTCTTGACTTTTCCATAGGAAAGAATTGGGAGGCTATAGCGCATGCATGGCAAAACACAGTGCCTTACCATTCAGCATCTCCTCACAGAGATGCATTGAATCAGCGTGGAGATGCTGTGCAGCCCTGACATAGAAAACTCCTCTAGTGGTGTCTGAGTGACTGCCACGAGTTACGTAGTTGTCTAGGTTGACAAAAAGACTAAAGTCCGTCCATTCGTTTATACTGTTGGTCCAAAAGAAGGCAAAAAACCCTGCAATAGTGGCCATTTCCAATGATGCCACAAAAAATCCTTCTTGACTCCGTAATAGCAATTTTTTTACATTCATATCAGTTATATCTTAAATATTCTGTTAATGCAAAACCGCATCCAAGCCTTTTTTATATGTATCTAAAGAAACTGATAACAGAACCTCTTTAGACAGAGAATTTCACATCTTTATTGTTATTACTGTAAATGACCCATTCCTCTGCTGTAAGCTAAAATGCATTGTTGTGTATCCCTGCCAATGAACAGGTTAGCACACAGCGGCTTGTAATGACCCTGTATATATAGTGCTGTCATATCCCCTCTGAGATTCCTTTTTTCTAAAGAAAACAATTGCACTTTTTCTATTTCCACAATATCCTACGTTAAAACTGGTACCCTAAATTGCCTTGCATATTCAAGGTGCTTTTTTACACGAAAGCACCTAACTAGCTTTTGCAACCACAGACCAGCATTGCATACTGTTGCCTCGTTTTTGTGTTTAATTGTTCCCATTTAATGTATGTCACTTGTAGGTTCCGTATCCCAAACCGCATGACTTTGCATTTCTCTGTATTAAATCTCATCAGGTATTTGCCTGCCCAACCCCTCAATTTATCCAAATTCTTCTGTAGAGAAGTTCTATCATGTTCAGAATGTATGTGTGTGTGTGTATGTATATATGTATATATATATATATATATATATATATATATATATAATCTCTATCTTACAAAGTTTTGTGGTGCCTGCAAACACAGCCAAATTACTTTCAATGTCCACTTCAACATAATTTTTAAACCGATAAGAGAAGACACTCCACTTACATTTGAACATTTTCCATATACAGCTACTCTCTGCACTCTATCTTTAAGCCAGTGTTCTATCCAAGAACACAATTCTGTATCTAAACCAACTAAATTCAATTTTACTAGTAACATTTTGTGTGGATCTGTATCAAATGCTTTAACAAAATCCAAGTAGATTATGTCTACTGGAACTCTCTGATATAGATATAGATATATATATATATATATATATATATATATATATATATATATATATATATATATATATATATATATATATATATATATATATAATTTCATTCTATTAAGAAGTCAGTAAAAATAAATAAATATAAACATGTATTCCTGACACTATAGGTCTAACTTGCCATTTAGGTAGCCAGCCCCCCCTTGCCCTGGTTAAAGAAAGGCGTCTGGGCCGCCCACGCTCTGCCACCTTGGCTGAGATGATCAATTTTGTGATTTCCCATAGGTGTCGTCAGGACAGTCTCTTCTAGGCAGCCCCTTTGCTTCTTATGTGCTAATCATTGGGGATCTATGTTGTGTGTACAGTAATTGCTGTGTAGCACCAATCCAGTGCTGTTTTGTGGAGACTTGTTTTTGCATATTTGTGCTGTGCACGAATACCCCAAATGTAAAGACAGTCGCTAGAGGCATGTTCTTGGACAAATGTAATCAATCCTTGGACATGATTTACATTGGGCTTTTTGCAGCCGGTTTTAAGTCGGTCTGTGAGCTAGGTACACTGATTGACCATCAGTCACGTAAAGTTCTGATGGTGCTTAGCATCAACGAAAGGCAACTGTCTTCGCATCATCGGTTTCTTATGTTAAATGTGTAAGTGCATAATTGGAGTGTCTGGAGTATGGGTGTCTGATCACAATTTGTCTTAATCCTGTTGGTGATCGTTACAGAGGGATAGGGAAGCTAAATGCCCTGTATATGTCAATGTGTGATACATTTAGTAGCCTGTGTGTAATGCAAGGAAGCTGTTTGCATGAAATGGGTTCTGTCTGAAAGATCTCTTCTGTATTTTTACTGACTTAATAGTATTGGATAAAGTAGGAGTACATCTACATTTTTTTTTTTTTAGGCTAATCCATAAACATAGAAAAAAAACATGTTTCCTTGAGTAATATAGTTAATTCAGTGATCTTTTATTCCCCTATACAGAACCATTCTTCTCAGCGTCATCTCTCTCCTTAATGAGCCAAACACTTTCTCTCCAGCCAATGTCGATGCTTCTGTCATGTACCGAAAATGGAAGGACAGCAAGGGGCGGGACAGAGAGTACACAGACATTATTAGGTAAGTAGTGTACCTACCTTGGCATATCTCTTTTCGGGAAGAGGTTGCATTATGTCCTTTAATCTGTCTTGGATGCTAGAATTAATAGATTATGTCATCTAGATAGTCCATGTTTGGTGCATAAAGGTACTTGAGGACAACAAGTGCCACATACACACTCCACTCCCTGTGTACAAATGGTACCAATAGAAAATGGCCAGAAGTAGTTAAGAATACTTATACATGTGCAGATATATGCAGATAATGTTCCATGTAATAGATTCATAAAACACAAAAAACAATGCATAGTATAGACTGTATTTACAAATAAATGAGTATAAGAGTAATTGGATACACTCACGAATTCCAGAGCCGTGCCAGGCTCTGTGTGTAATGCCCAAGGGTGCCTCAAAAGGCTATGTAGAGGATCTTAAATGATGTCCCCCAAGACTCTGGAAAAAGCAGCAATGATGATGATATTAAAAATAAACAAATTTATTACAATAAATGTAAAAAAAAAAAAAAAAAACTCTCTGCAGGTCCCATATGGTGACACACAAGCTCACAGCTATGCAGACGCGTTTCAACTCAGTCCAAGTTTTCATCAGTGCATAAAAATCATCCAGCTGCTATTCCTTTTAAATTCGCCGCTTCTATGGCTGCCGGTCACGTAGGTGGAAGTTGGGCTGACCGGCGTCTGATGTCACTTCCGGTATTTTCGGCGCTAATTTCATCAGTTTAGTTTAATTCAGTTCATTTGCCCAATTGAAACAGAAAGCTCCATATTGTAAATGGGCGCCTATAATAACTCTTAAAGTGCATAAAAATAGACAATTCATCATAATATAAAGTAACATCTATAAAAAAGATAATAATCATATATAGCTCTTCTCTGTGGATCCCTTACAAGGGGGAAATGATAAGAGACATGAGTAATTATACATAATAGCATAAAGATTTATATCACATATACAATATGTAGATACAGCCCATATAGATAGGATTGGTTGATCAGAGAGTGCAAAATACTAATCTGAAAAAAAATAAATAAATAAAAAAAATAAATATATATATATATATATATATATATATATATATATATATATATATATATATATATATATATATATATATATATATATATATATATAAAATCAAATGTAATGAGCTGGTACTAAAAATGCATAGTATATGCATGTAAAAGGATACAAAAAAATCATATGCAAAACTATAAAAAAGAGCCAGCGCAAAATCTAAATTTAAATCATTGGGGGATAGAGTGTTTAACTCAAATATCCACCTGCTTTCAAATTTGCAAAGTTCTTTGAAATTGTCCTCGCCTCTCCAATCCTTTTTTCTTTTGGGCAATGGCAATAAAACTAACATGGGAAGGGTCACTATTGTGGCATTGTGAAAAATGTGCAGAGACACTGTGTTTATTGCCCAAATGTTATCTGCACGTGTATAAGTATTCTTAACTACTTTTGGCCATTTTCTATTGGTACCATTTGTACACAGGGAGTGGTCCCTTTTCTATTGCCTTGCAATTTTGTTCACAGTGTATGTCAGAATTGAAAGAAAAAAATAAATAAAAATTCTTTTAATACAATGTGTGTCACGAACACACCCTACTTTAAGAGTGTGTGATGTTGTGGTGGTGCTGAAAGGGTTAAAGTTCACTATTTGTCTGCACTAGACTTAAAATAATGATACAATCCCCCTTAACACCACCCACACTAAAGCATAATAATATAAATATTCTAAAGCTGCCACCACCAAGACAATTTATAAATGGAGTGCCTTTGTCCCCAAAGTAACTTGATAATAAAAACCAACCAAATACAACTTTGCACAATATCTAATTGAAGAACACTAATTAGTCTCTTCAGGTAATGTAATTCTTTACCAGACAAAAGCAGAACTTAATACAGGAATATTTATTATGAGCAAAAAATAGTCCCAGTGCATACAAAAATAGATGATAAATTATTTACACCAACAACAGATAAAACCAAGAGAGATAAAATAACAGTCATAATCACTTAGGTTTTCAAAGTAAAACTTATGCCCAGGGGGTCATTGGTAAGGAAGATGGTGACTCACTCAGAATTAGATTCTGGTCCCCAAGCAAGTACAATGCACACTTAGTATAATTAGATATATACCCTGTGGATTACCAAGCCTCGTCCAGAGGTGGAGATAAGGCGTACCTATAGTAACTATAAGTTACCACCCCCTTGTGTTCCAGACGAACATCAATATAAAAAGGGAAACATTTGGTTCTATCTCTTGTGTACTTGCCACAGAAATAATAATTGCATCTATGAATTTACAATTTTTCTCATCCATTGATATTCCACACTCCTTACTTGTGACCCAAAATAGCAGACATCACAATCACTTCCCCTATGGTTAAGTTACGCACATCATGTTTGGGCTTGATTAGATTGTGCTTGTCCTATTATGAATATAATAAAAGAGGGAATCTAGACATGGCAAATGTGTGACTTCTCACACCTTGCAGAGCATTTGATTAATCAAAGGATCAATCCGTATGGTAAACCATCTGACTCCTTTTACATTACCCCTTCTGTCATCTGATCTCTACCAAACGGTCAAAATATATATATATATATATATATATATATATATATATATATATATATATATATATATATATATATATATATATATATATATATATATATATATATATATATATATATATATATATATATTATATACACAAATTACATTAAATGGCAATATTCTATTGTGCAACAATGAATTATACACCCTTGTGTTCTGTCATGAAGCATGACTGACTGGTTTCTTGATAGTCTCAAATGCTTTTAACAATGATAATTCTTGCTGTGTCATCATAAATAATTTAAAACTTAGTCAGTACCACGGACATTTTAGACAGTGACTTAAATGGAAAGGCTGATCTATATAATTTCTGTAATAACTCCCTGCCGCCCTCCTCCCTCCTTAATGTCATATTCTCAGGTTATTGTTGTGTAAAAGTGGTCACTTTTTGCTTCCTGGGATTTTCTTCAAAGTGTGTATTAGAATGCTAATTAGCTTCCAAACACTCCAATATATACCAGCATATACAATAATGTCTTTATTACTATTATTTAGGATGTCTTACGATTCCAACAATTATTCTCATGATTAAGACAGCCCTCAATAAACAATATGCCCACATCAATCTTGATTGAAGAACATATGAAAATAACTGTGTGGCCTATCCAGTCTGCCTGTTATCATATATTTGTTGCATTTAAAAAAGCTTTAAAGTACTCTATAGTGTTGGGAATACAAACATGTATTTCTGACACTATAGTGTCATGCTAACTGTCTGAGCAGTAAAAAACCTTTTTATTTATCTTTCGCTGTACCGATCTCCAAACTGTTGCCTGGCTGAGATCACCAAGATTCCTATAGTAAAGCATTGGGAGGCTAGTGTGCATGCATGGCAAACTGCTGCGCTGTACCAATCAAGTGCTGTCTATGAGCAGCATTTGATTGAGAACAGAGTCTGACATGGATCTCACAAAGGAAGCACCACTAGTGGCGGTTAGGAGCACAGCCACTACAGGTGAAACAAGAAGTTTTTTTTACATTGTACGGTTAAAACGGCAGGGGCAGTACACCTGGATCACTTCATTGAGATTGAGTTGTTCAGGTGTCTTAAGTGTCCCTATTAAGAATAATTTTGGAAGCTTGCAGAGGAAAGTGTGGGTTTTTTTTTTTTTTTTTTTAATTCTTTATTTATTCCAAGGCAGTACATTACATTGAAAACATAATGCATCATAACATTGCAATATATTGTTACATTGTGCATGACCGTATTCTATCGTATTTTCAATAAAAGTAGGCCAACACTCCTTTCAAACCGTTACTTAACCATTGTAACATGGAGTGCGTCTATCACACGATACATCGCTGTTTCCCTGTCCACCCCGGTAAATTTTTAATTTATAAAGAAAAGTATAATAAACATAAGGAGGCTGAAGTTACCATACAAACATTTCTTTTATCGATAGGACATGCCCTATCCATTCCTATGCGGTCGTGTACGGATCCTATAGATCCTATTCGTGAGCTCATTCGAATTTCTATCCGTTTGCTCCTGTTATCACCTGTCCACATCCTTTAGCGATGCAAATTATTTACTTATTGTATGGAAATGTTAGATCAGTTGTGAGGAGTTCTCACAAAAAAAGCAGGAAAAGAGGAGTAAGAGGGGTAAGTATGAAGATAGGAAGTGGGAGTATGGGGAGGGGAGCGCGGGGGAATCCAGGCCAACCTACATCTATCCGATACAAGCCCGTCCAAGGGAGTCTCTCGTGTGTCCATCAAGCACTTGCTGCCCCAATTTTTTTTCAAACTTTTTCGTTGTACCCCTAACCCGGGCTGTTAGGTCATCCATCAGATAATTATCTTTAATTTTCCGAATCAACGCAGTGATTTCTGGGGCCTCTCTTTGCAGCCATACCTGTGCCAAAGCTCTCCTAGCGGCTAGGTTCACTTTATAAAATAGGGTCAGTTCTGTTTTTGTCTAGTTTTCTATTGATTTGGCTAATAAGAATACCCATGGGTCTAGCTTAACCTCCCTCTCAAATATTTCTCACAACAATTGCGCAATTTGTTGCCAATAAACTTGTGTAATTGGGCATTCCCACCACATGTGAATATATGTGCCCTTGAGGCCGCACCCCCGCCAGCATAGGTCTGTAGTAATTTGGTTCATACGGCTCAACTTTACCGGTGTAGCATACCATCGAAATAGCGTCTATGATTGTTCCTGCAGCGAGACACACATAGAGGACTGCGCGGCTGCCTCCCATATAAGGGGTCATTGGAGAAGGGGAGGACACCAAGCGATACTTAGTAGCGGCTGCATCCCATATCTTCAGTGAATTGAAAATTGCAGGACATGTCACACTGATGTTTGGTCTGTGCTCCCTAGGGGTCCACATAAAGAACTGAGGTATATCCATCCCCATAAGGGATGCTTCCAGGTCCACCCATCTCCTTTCCTCCGGTGGAGAGTGCCACAGCGCCAACTGGGCCAGCTGGGCTGCCTCATGATAAAAATATAGGTGCCCAGGCCACCCCTGTCCCTAGCCCGGTAAAGAATGTTGCGTGAGACCCTATGCTTCTTATTCTACCATATAAATTTGCCAATGGTTTGTTGGAGCGGTCCCAAGTCAGATCTGGTCACTCTGATCGGGAGCGCCTGAAACAAAAACAATATTCGAGGTAGCACATTAATTTTTACGGAATGAATCCTCCCTATGCAAGAAATTGCTTTTTCTGTCCAGCTCTCCATGTCTGTCATCAATATCCTAATCAGCAGGGTATAATTCTGTTGGAATAATTTAGATGGGTCTGCCGTCAGTCGTATTTAATGTGGTCTCCTGTTATTCGTAATTGATAGGTCTTCCCTATGTAGGTTACGTCCATCTCTGACATACCTATGGGTAGTACGCTGGACTTGTCCATATTTACCTTATATCCGGCCAGTTCTCCAAATTTCTTCAAGACATCTGTTAGCGCCGCCATGGATTCCCTCGGTTCTGTCAGTCCGTAAGACGTCATCTGCGAATCCTCGCACCACGTATCGTTGCCCTCCGACTTCTACCCCTTTATTGTCTGGGCTGCGCTTATCGCATGAAGGAGTGGTTCCAACAAAAGAGCGAACAATTAGGGCGACAATGGGCATCCCTGTATTGTGCAGTTGCTTAGACCAAACGGAGTTATCTTTGCTCCCGAAATGCGCCCTGACGTTAGTATACATGGCTCGAATCGCCGTTGTGAACTGAGCTGGGAAGCCATAATGATCCAGCATTGTGAATAAATAAGGCTATTTAACCCTGTAGAAAGCTTTCTTGGCGTCCAACGACCGTAACATCGTCTGTATTTTCCTTGTGTTTTGTTTCCAAATGAGGTCCACATTACGTCTGGTATTTTCAAAGAGTTGCCCGGTATGAACCCCACCTGGTCAGGGTGAACTAGCCGATTCAGCATTCAGGTTTATCCTGGCAGCCAGAATTTTCGCTAGTATTTTTGAATCATGGTTGATCAGGGATATCGGGCAAAAGTTTTCTGGGGCTGATAGATCCCGGTTTCGGCAGTAAGACCATATCTGCTAGCGACATGTCTCTGTCAGGTGGACCTCCGTCCATTAGTTCGGTGAACCAAGCTTCCATATGTGGAATAAGCTCTTCCCTAAAGGTTTTATAATAGGTGCCATCGAAGCCATCTGGTCCCGGTGCCTTGTTACTCTTCAATGTGGATATTGCTACGTGCATTTCTTCTGCCAAGATCTGTTTCCTCAAGGCGTCTGCTTCTGCCCCATTCAGTGTTGGCAAATCCAGCCCAGCAAGGAAAGCTTGTATCTTGTCTCTTTCACTTTGCATATCGGCGAGATCTGTTGTGGAATGATTCTATAGTTTAGTAAAGAATTCTGTGAATACTTTTGCTATGTCTGTAGGGTTCGTGTGATATTGACCTGAGGCGTCTTTAATTTTGGTGATGAGGGTTCCATGTTGCCTTGGTTGGAGTGACCTCGCCAGCAGGGTGTCCATCTTATTGGCTTTTTCAAAATAGGTCCGTTTAGACCCTATAATAGCCCGTGCCGTATCGTCTAGCAGCGTTCCAGGAACCGAGGCCCTCAATTCCTGAACCGCTAGTAGGTTAGTGGGTGTAGAATCAGTCTTATGTCTCTGTTTAGCCTTACGCAAGGACTCCAGGAGGGATGATAGTAAGAGGGTTTTACGTTTTTTCTTTAGTGTTGCTTCACGAATTAATATGCCCCTGATCACTGCTTTATGAGCTGACCACACCATCACCTTCGACAGGTCCGAGTCTCTGGCAAAATAGTCCGTTGGTTCCTTCCGCACCATGTCGACAATCGCCCGATCACGGAGCAGAGACATATTTCATTTCCAGGGCCAGGGGGATGCCGCACTTAGTTTATCCAGGGTTAGGGAAATGTCTGCGTGGTCTGACCAAGTGATGGAGCCTACAGTCGATTCCGATACTTTGGGTACTGATGAGGGGCTAACCAAAAACAGATCTATTCTTGTATAGGTATCGTGGGGGGCTGAGTAAAATGTAAAATCACTATCGTCCGGGTGCTGCGCTCTCCATATATCTATGAGGCCTGTATTTTGCATGAAGAGATGTAATAATTTGTCTTGTCTGCCTTTTAGTGTGATCTGGGGAGATCTTTACTAGATCCCCTATCTCTCGCTGGGCATGGAGCGGCATTGAAATCACCCTCCACTATTACCATTCCATGTGATAATGCGTTGATTTCCTGAGTCAATTCTACCCAGAACTTCCTAGATGGGTCATTTGGGCCATAAAGGTTGAGAATATGTATACTATGGGAGTACAGCGTTCCTGACAGAAGTACAAAACGGCCTCCCGAGTCTGTGTGTACCCTAGAAACCTTGTGGGCACCTACGGTGTATCAAAATAGCCACCCCATTCCTCTTATTGAGAGCTCTAGATTCATACGTGGTGCGGTACTCATGGTCCATAAGCGCAAATTTCGCAGATGCCTGTATATGTGTCTCCTGCAGGAAGGCTATATCGGGGTTCAATCTTTTGAGGTCCCTAAACATGAGGCGCCGTTTTTTTAGGTGCATTAAGGCCTTTAACATTTAATGACCATATTTTCACAGGCATGGTCCTGCCCTGTGGGTGTTGCTGTGATAAGGTGTATTGTTAAGCCTACGTTCTAGGCTGTCGTACTTTTCCTTTCTCGTGGGTGGAAGGAGTATTATTGGCCTGCGCGATATAGCGTGCTTATTGCGCGTGACACCTAACATTTTACTCTTACCGGCCTTCCTGCCCTCTCGCCTTGACTGTACTCGTACATCCGCCAGGTGGGCTTCTGTTATTCTCCGGCTTTTCCTTAGGGGCGCTGCCTCAGCGCCCCCCTCCAGGGGAAGGTAAGGAGAGGTAGGAAAGGGGGTGAAAAGGGGTAGAAGTAAAGCAGAAAAAAATTGGAAAACAGATTATGTACTTCTTGTGCCTGGTCTTACCGATAGCCAGGCCTATGTGGGGTGTGAGTCCCTGTCCCTCCAGCACTCCTTAGAGGTTCCACAGGTCCAGGGACCCAGACCAACCCAAGTTTTATTGTGACAGCATCTGAATATAAATTGTCTTAAGCCCCCGTTTCTGGTACATTTGCCTAGTAGAGTCGACCTACCACAATCTGCCTAGGGTTATCAAACTTGGTCGCCTTCCCCGGCTTCCACTATCTCCCATCAACTCGCCCGTCCCACGGTTCCCATCGCCGCCCCGACCCCCCCAAGAAGCTCAATATTTCCACGATAGGTGTTTCAAAGGTGTCATCAGATTTATATACGCCTATGTTAGCCTAACCTGTAAATCTATAGTGCGTCCGGTATATCGCCATCTATAGCCCCGTAAACATTTAGATGCCAGCGGAGCATGGGTCGGTCCCCTGAGTTGAAGGCTGGAAATGGAACGGCAGAAGCCCAGGTGACCGCCCCTCCCCTGCCCGCAAATCACAGATCCCGCACATTTTACCATGCTTGGGGAGCCCTCTAATCGATAGCTCTTCTAGGCGGCATGAGTGGCCCTTACAATAACTACAGATCGTCGTTGGTGCTCTTTAGTAACCCACCACCATGTAACGCAACAGCTAACCACAGCATACACCGAGGTTGCTAAACCGTGAAAAACATATACATTTAGAAGAAAAAAAATCAAACAAACGTTTTGAAAGAGACAATTTATCTCCCCGTCGCAATCCTTCCTGCCTCCCCCCGGCCATTTTGTGAGTCTCAAATCCAAACCCTGTATCGAATTCCAAGCATCCATCTGTGGGCCTGTATTGATACATTGCGTCGGTCATAATCTGGGTGCAGGTATTAAGATGGGGTGAGAACGTGCCCCCAATGGAGCTCGAAAAAATAGCAAAGATACCCGACACCTACTCTCGAGGAGTCGTAAGCCCTAACCCTCCCCATAAGAAATGGTGGCCCCCCTAATAAAGACCCCCGGGCCGATCCAGGAAGTCCCGGCTGGAGCGGGCTTAAGAACCCCTATAATATGTACCCGGAGGGGGAAAAAACCCCTCCCAATATCAGGAAGCATGTCCCCCCGCCAGCCGGCCCGTGTGGGGGCTTCCCTATCAAGGAAATGGCCCCTAAAGAGAAGAAACCTCCATTCTGTACTCACTCGCCCGCCGTGTACCATCGCTGTCGCAGCATCTGGAACCGCTAACTCTCCCGTGTCCTGCACCCCTAGCTCGTGTAGGAATGTCACCGGATTGCCGCCTGGTTGCATGATCCTAGAGCGCCCCTCCTTGAAGGCCATAAGCCTGAACGAATGGCCCCACGCATACTTGATAGTGTCGCTGAAGCAGTTCAGTTATAGGTTGCCATTCTCGCCGCTGCCGCAGGGTGTCCGGCGTCAGGTCCTGATACAAGGCTAGTTCAGCTCCTCTGTACATAATTGGGCCCTCCCTTCCGCATCCCATCAATGCTTCCTTCGTTTGGAAAAATTTAAACTTGATGATATCTCTAGGCCTGTTATCGTTTGCCCGTCGGGCTTGCAGCGCCCTCTCTCGATGTGTCAGTGGCTCTCTGGTATGTTTGGGAGGAGCGGTTTAAATATGGAGGAGACCACCTCAATCAGGGAGCCTTCCCCCTCCTGTTCAGGCAGACCCCGCAGCCTGATGTTGTTTCGTCGTGAGCGGTTGCCCAGGTCCTTCAACGCAGGTTCAGCTGCCGCTAACCTGGACATAATAGGTTAATTTGTGCAGCGGCCGTGTTATGGGCTTCCACCGTGGACTCCACTCGTTGTTCGAGTACCGCCATTCTGGTCCCCAACGCATGTATCTCCGCCTTGACTTTGGCGGTATTCCTGGCTATTTCCGTTGCCAGGTAAGTTCTCACCTCCGCCAAGGTCACCAGTATTTGCTTGGGGTCAGTCTCCTGGGGTCCAGGTGTAACACTAGATCCCGGGCTAGAGGGAGATCGAGGCCCTCCAGTGCTCTCCTGTCCGCCATCTTGGGTGGTGTTTCTCATAGCGTGGGAGGCCGCAAAGAGATCCGAAACCGTTGCGTCCTGTTCCGGTTGTTTTTTCGCCTGCTTTTTTTGGGGCCCTTTTATCCATCTCAGGTTCCCCCGCAGGTATTTAGCTATTTAATTTCGATCTGCTGCTTTTAACAGCTGTTGGTCCGGCGGTCCCGGTGGAGCTTCACACGGATGTGTTCAGCTCGCTCCTACCGCAGACCACGCCCCCGGAAAGTAATTTTTTAAGGCCTGGCTAGTAGTAGTAATAGTAGTAGTAGTAGTAAGACTGACATTTTATACCTTGTTCTCTCTTTTTACAAATGTGTTTTGAAAAGAATTAAAGGGTTTCTCCAACCACCGTGACCACTTGAGTGATGTGAAGTGGCCATGGTGGTAGGAGTCAGTAGGTGCCATAATTTGAATTGTGTGCTTGGAGCTAGGGATTGACCGATTATCGGCTTTGCTGATATTATCGGCCGATATTCTGTATTTTTGGCAATATCTGTATTGGCCAATATAGATACCGATATTGCCGATAATCCATTACACACACCCCTCACAAATACACACTGCATCCATTACACACACACCTCACAAATACACACAGCTCCCCTGTCTAAACACACTTCATCCACTACATGTGGCATGTGTATTTTGTGCATTTACCATTAGAATTTGTTTATTTTTTCAAAATGGTAAATGTACAGGTTATCGGCCTGAAAGTTCAGAGTATCGGCTCTAAAAAAATCAATATCGTCGATCCCTACTTGGGGCTAGTTGCATCTCCAGCACATGTGATTCTATTCGGCTGGCAACAGACACAATTATTTTCCCCCTCTATTACTAGGAAAGCAGAGCATCACGTGAAAAAGTTGAACACAGTTACAAGTATTTTCCAGTGGTATAATTTCCAGAAAATTGACATTTCTGCATTTAAGACTATAATTTATGAACTGGTTTATCTACACAAAAATTAGCATATATAAGAACTGCCTGCACACGATCACAGCTTTTCCTTTGCTTCAAGGTAGGTGCACATTGGCTCTGACAGGCATTTTGGTGTATCTGCCCCATTTCTAAAAGTGCTAGTTTCTAACTAATCTAGTTATGGAATCACATTCCAGGTGGCGATGAACTAACTGTTAAAATTAGGTGGTATGTTATTGTTTCTATCTGTTGTTTAATGTGGAAGTGCTTAACATAATGTGCTACATTTTATAGAAAACAAGTCCTATCCACGAAGGCTGATGCAGAACATGATGGAGTAAAAGTCCCCACCACGCTAGCTGAATACTGTGTAAAAACAAAGGCTCCAGCTCCAGATGAGGGATCTGACTTGTTCTATGATGACTACTATGAAGACGATGAAATGGAGGAGGAGGGGGACAGCTGTTTTGAAGACCAAGATGATTCTGGGAATGAGGAATCTTGACGCTGACTGCAACTCCCCAGTCCCAAACTCCTTCACTTTCTCTCTCCTTGTCAATAAAACAGACGCAATTTATTTTTCCACTTCGTATTTCCTTGGGCCTGAGCAAGAAATGGTCCAACTAAGGTCACCCATTGTGTGCAGTATTGGGGAGAGAAAGGGGAAGCATGATTGCTTTGGTAGGTCCTGTTAAGAAGCATCCGTGAGGCTACACAAGCTGCTGTAAAGGCTGCTCAATTTCTGCAGTTCAAGCGTGTATCACAGGATGGCAGTAGAATGCTTTGAGATTTCTGCTGCTGGCGTACTGCTCTGCCACCACCTTCCTAATACCTAATCATGTTCAGACTGCAGTGCAGAGTTGAAGTGGGAGTGTGGAAGGAGCTGAATTATTTTTATTTTATTTTGGTAATGAGGTGGAGGGGGCTGCTTTAAGATTATCTGCTGTTTTAGATTTGATCACACTGTATTTACTCTATTTTCCTTTTGGGTGGGAGTGGGTTGGTATGAGTTCTGTGTGTGTGCGCGTGTGTGCATTTTTTTTCCTTTTATTTTGAAAGTATTTAATAATAAACACCCTAAAAAGTGCTGGCTGTGTGCTTGTTTTTTTTTTTTTAAATTTATTTTGTAATTTTTCCTGGTTAGAGCTGTGGTACCGAGAAGACAGTAAGCCATAGAGTTCACATAAAAATAGCTTAGCCTCATATAGGACATGTCTTTTGAAATGGCATTGGTGTATCTGTCCTAGTCATCCTGTAGACAAAGGTGTGCTCAAAGGTAGATCCTCAAATGTTGTAGATTTGAGTCTTTTAGGATGACAAAGCACCTACTTTTTGGGCATCCCTGCTGTAAACTGACTTGGATAGTGATTCTTTGTGGTGGTGACTAAAAATTACATAGATAACACGTTAAATCTGTGATTATGATGTGCATTCCTCAATTGTGTTTTAAAAAAAGATGACTCTAATCTGCGTATACTATATATTATGGGTTGTATTCACCGAAATCTATTCTGCGTTTTCTTTTTGTTATTTATACAGTTTGATGACTGAACTAGCTGTAAGCCTTTTTGCTCTTCATAAAAGGCAAGTTTGGTTATTTAAACTGAATCTTTATTTCCATTTGACTGACATTCAGTCATCTGGTGAAATTGGCCAACTTTCCATGGAATTAGGCAATTTGTACACACTCTAATTACATCCAAATTTGGTTGATCCATTTGCCCTAATACAGGTCAGGGGAAGTGCACCCTTAATTCCAGAACCATAAAAAATTTAGGGATCAACAGATTATTGATTTTTAAAAAAAATTTTTTTATTAGTATTATTTTTTTGAGCCGATACAGATACCGATAATCTGTGAACTTTCAGGCCGATACCTTACCGATATTCTGTACATTTACCATTTTGAAAAAAAAAACTATTTCTAAAGGTAAATGCACAAAATATACATGCCACATGTAGTTGATGCAGTGTGTTTAGACGGGAGCCGTGTGTGTGTATATAGTGAATGCAGTGTGTGTATATAATGCAGAGTGTTGTTTCTGTAGGTATGTAATTTGTGTAAAATGGGGGGAGGAGAGGGGGCATTTTTTATTTTACATTTTTTTTAAATATATACAATGTATTTATTTTTTGTCTCCCCCCTCCCTGCTTGTTACCTGGCCAGGGAGGGAGGGTATAGCATTCCCTGGTGGTCTGGTGGCATGGACTGTGCAGAGGGGGCCCAGCAAGCTCTTACCATCCCTTCAGCTCCCTGTGTAAAACTTGTGGCCTGTGTGCGGCGCGAAGCGTTGCCATAGTAACCTGTGGAAACGCTCTGCCGGCCGTGGGACCTGCGAGATATTCACAGGGTAGCTGCTGGGAAGGTAAGAGCAAGAGCTTGATGCGGACCCTCCAGGACCGCCAGGCTTGTCATGGGCTCAGTGGTCCTGGTATGTATTATCGGCATCTTTATTGGCCGCTACCGATATTGCTGAAAATACCGAATATCGGCCAGACCGATAATCGGTCGATCCCTAGAACAATTATACCTTGCCAAGGAATAATTACCCTACTCTTAACTTCCGTACTCTTGTCTTTTTATTTATTTTAATGTGTTGTAGCAGGTTAATTCTGTAAAGCTACTTTCAAATGAATCTCACTGTTAAAGGAATACCTATTTGAAAAAAATAGGGCCCTGTCTGACAAGGTCTACAGTGGTCCTTAGGGAAAATTTATGAATGCTAGAGAATTCAGCTGAATGAAAGTAGCTGATATTCTTAAAATCAATTTTAGAAAGCCCTCATATCGGCAACAACCAAAAGAATTTCCACCGACAAACTTTTTTTTTTTTTTTTTTAAAGGAACACTATAATATTAGAAATTCAATGGGTTTTTTTGGGGGGTTTTTTGGTTGTTTTTTTCAGGTCCCAGTTATTAGGCATGAGTGTAGGTCAGAAGTACCAAAGCAAATGATCTAATGTAATATTTGAAATATGTTAACTATGCTAAATATTATTCTCCATTTAAAGTTAAGGAGACAAATATTGAGTGAACAGATCAAGAATGTGTCTTTAAAAGGGATCTTTTAAGAAATGTAATTGCTGCACACACTCGGTCTATCCGTGTCATTAATAATGCGGAAGTGTTAAAAGGACACTATATAGGCAACTAGACCACTTCATATCATTGCAATGTTTACATTACTGGCTTAAGTCTGCCTTTAGTCTACCAGAGAGCCACTAGTGGCGCTTTCTGCAGTTTGACTCTGTGAAATGTCCCTGGATGTCCACACTTAGTATGATGATGTCCAGTGTCTTCTAAATCCCCATAGGAAAGCATCTGGAAAGCTTAATGTGTGTCTGTGCTCGCCGCACATGCGCATTCAGTTTCCTCCATCGGCTGAAGGAGAATGAGAAACCAGACCCACTGCAGAGGGACTTTGCTGGAAACCGGTGTAAAAAGGTATATATTTTTTTATTTTTAAACATTTTATTTGCTGCCGGGAGGGGGGCAGGTGAACACTGTAGGAAATTTGCATTCCGTGAGATATTTGTTTTCCACTTTTCTGAACAAATCGAATCAGAGTGTCTTGCAGTTAAAACCGTATATTTATTACAATATACACATCATCCGGTAACAACAAAAGTCTGTTTTAAAATCATATGGACCAATAGACAATGTATATTCACTTCTAGATCTTATCCAAGCTTGATGTTAAAAGGTATTGGTCGTTGGTATTACTATTGGTAAAAATATTCTAGCTGCAATGGATTTTATACATTTAAAATTCAATTACATAGGGCGTATACATAATGACATAAGGTTTGCCTGCTTTACAATAATTGGTTATCTAAGAAAAAATAGGTGGTAACTTAGTATTATTCGATATCTATGATTAAAGCCATACGTTATGATGTTTTGGTAAGTTACACACAAAGACCTTCTTGAGACTTCTAATTACATGATGGAATGAATGATTGCCTATAGAAATGTGAACCTTCGCAGGAATTCAGGCTTACAAGGCTAGGTCAAAGGTTATTATCAACAGGGTCCACAAGTCTCCATCCATCATTCTTGACTTAAAACCATATGTGTGTAAATTACAGTATGTGTATAAATTACATTATGATAGTAATCTATCTGGGTAGGCCTCTCGATGTCTGGATATGCTTAGAATAATAACTTACAATATTTCTACATTCCTACAACACGTTGAATACATTTAAAGTTCATAAAAATATTTTTCAAACACTACTGTGAGGAATACAGTTTTTTTTT